GGGACCAAGAAAAGCAATTGAAACTTTCAGAACAGCCGTTCTCAAAATCGAGAGTTTAACCATGGGCCTCATGAATACGGAACACAAGTGGCATCCACTTAACCGCAACGTTCAGTAGTATCACTTGCAGTGAGAGAATTACTTATGGCGATATGGTGAGGATGAGAAATGAAGTTGTCAAAAAATTATCCTGGTAGCACGAAGGAGAATCTTCACAGGCACAACAAGGGTCCTGATCCTTTTATTAATAAAAATAAACCAATTATGAAACTGGCTTCCATTTTACAGTTTCTGGTGTCCCTATCGGGATTAAAACCGAGTACTTCCGGAATATAATTCTACAGTGTTAGAGCGTTTCTTCTATACAGACCTGCTCGGGATAGCGGTTTCCGGCCAGTAATGATTTGTAGTCCTAACTGCAGCGTTTAATATAAATTACTTATTTTCTTCCACCTATTTAACCAAAGTAGTAAAAACCTGTAAAATCAAGTTACTTTTATCACATATATGCCCAGGGATATTCGAAGTCGTGTATTAAAAAGGAATAATAGTTTCATAAATTAATACTGCAATGCCTATGGTTTATAAAATTATCCACGTCATCAATTATGTAATTAATGGTGAATATAAATAACCCAAATAAGTCAAATAATTGAGTCCAGGTGCCATTCTTAACTACTTGTACATTGTTCGTTTGAAATTATTCCTTATCACACACTGACAGAGCCAACAGCAAAACTTTTGCCACAAGAGAGAAATATGAAAGACTTAACTGAACTGTACTTGACCATGTAAATATGTCCTAAGGAAATTATGGGTTCAGGAATTTTAAACACGCTGTGCCAAAAGTGTGCCTTAAAATCAGAAAATTAATGGTTTAATGGCGCAAAGTCAGGTTTTAAAAATCCATTATTTTTCCCAAAATACACCTATGAATAAAACATTTTAACCACTTATACGTATCTGCCTCTAGACAAACTTCAAGCCTATCATAATGGCGGCGAGTTCTAAGGCATGAACCGTCTTCACCCACTCGAATATTGGGATCGTGGGCTGATCCCCTGTCCAAGGAATCCCAACAGAAACATGGAACTCATGCGTGGTATCAAGTTAAGTCCCTTTCGTCTCACAAGAGGAGAATTTACTGTCAATATTTATAATTACTGCTTATAACAGTTTCAAATGCAGAATCACCAATATCAAAAACCCATACTGCCATCGTCTTTAATATCATCCCAAACAGCCATATTTTCAACCTTTTTTTTTTTAATTTTTCCAATAACCCAAAGGATAACCACCCAGTAGGGCACTTCATCAGAATCAAGTTTATATATTTTCCTGCCATTTTATTGACCCCTGTTTTCCCCATATACATACACACGACTCTGTATGATTCAGTCAGTATAAAATATAAGGATGAAGATGGTCGTTAAGAACACTTACAAGAAACAAGTATACACTTATGGACAGCTAAGCTCTTTTTGTATTACTCTAATTTAAACAGTGTTTACAAACGTTTGAAGTTTAGTTGTGGATTATTGATTCACTTCAATGTACCTCGACTCCACTCAGGCAAGTGACACAGATGTCATACAGAAAACTGAGAATGTACATTAAATTAAAGCAAGCTAAAGGAAAAGCAGGCTTGTAATCTAATAAGAATTTGTTGCCGAAAGAAGCTCTTGCTTATTTAATTTATTTCCATTTTTCAGATGACGAGAGTCTAATGAGAGATGAAGTTTTAGAAGAACTCACACATTTTGATAACAGTCGAATGTTTACAGATAGGCTGTTCTCAATAATCGGAAAATTGCCTCTGACTTATCTTTTCTCTCTGATGCCAACACATACTGGAACTGTAGTGTATGACAGTACAGTCTGTATTACATGCCGCTCAGTCACCGACGCTCTGCTGACATATTCACAAAACCATTCAGAGCAGAATGTCCGTGACCTTGCATATTCAATCTGCATTAATCTTGGGATACAGGCTGACGAAGTATGCGCTGGAGTAATTGACTTAAACATGGTAATTCAAATTTACTTAAACATTTGCGGTACAGTTCAGATATTTGGGAACAACGATAACAGATCGAAACCTGATTCAGGAGGAAATTAAGAGGAAATTGAACTCGGGTAATGCTTGCTACCATTCAGTCCAGAACCTTTTGTCTTCTCGTCTGCTGTCCAAAAACATAAAAATTACAATATACAAAACTATAATTTTGCCTGTGGGTCTGTATGGGTGTGGAACTTGGTCTCTGACATTAAGGGAGGAACATAGACTGAGGGTTTCTGAGAACATGGTGATGAAGAGAATATTTTGACCGAAGAGAGATGAAGTGACAGGAGGTTGGAGAAAACTGCATAATGAGGACCTTCATAACTTGTACTCTTCTCCAAGTATAATTAGAATGATAAAGTCAAGGAGGATGAGGTGGGCAGGGCGTGTAACACGAATGGGGGAGACGAGGAACGCGTATAGGATATTGGTGGGGAAGTCAGAAGGAAAGAGACTACTGGGAAGACCAAGGCGTAGGTGGGTGTACAATATTAAAATTGATCTTAGAGAGATAGGATGGGATGGTATTGATTGGATTGATCTGGCTCAGGATAGGGACCAGTGGAGGGCTCTTGTGAACATGGTAGTGAACCTTCGGGCTCCATAAAATGCTGGGAAATTCTTGAGTAGCTACAGAATTGGCTCCAGATGGGCTCAGCTCCAAGAGTAAGTAAATACCGAAGAATGTTACCCTCTGGATGCGACGCTGTACAGTCTGGTACAAACAAAAACAAACAAACTCCGTGGTGTGTAGTCCGCAAGCGAACTATACCGACCGAGGGACCGCCGTTTGTCTGTGAAGTTAGTGCCAACTTTTGCGCGTAGATGGTGTCGCGTGGTCAGCGCAACGGATCCACATGGCCGTTAATCTCGGTTTTCTAGATCGGAGCCGCTATGTCCTTGAAACAGCTCCGCAATTATCCTCACGAGGCTGAGTGCACCTCGTTCCAGACCCACTACTTCTCAGAAAATCTGATAGCGCCCGGAATCGAACCCGGGCCTCTGGATTTGTAGCCAGAAACTCTGACCCCTAGACCACAGAGGCGGTCACGTACAGTCTGGTACAAGTTCATAAACTGTTCGGAGGATGTACTGCATCCATTTTCAAGATTGAGGAGTAAACTAAGCTAGAGGGAAGTGCCAATGAGAGTCCGCGGGCTGTTTAGCTTTTTCTTCGACCTTGAAAATAGAGGCAGAACGTTTCCCCGAAAAGTTGGTAAACGTGCAAGAGACCACACAGCGTCACATAACAGAGTACAGTACTCTTTATAATCACTGCTGTCAGGACCTGAAATCTCAAATTGTTGATACTTTTCTCATAGGAAGTCTATGTCATGTCCCAGACTGTTCTAGGAATTTCATGTTACTTTCATGTGCCTAAATGCCATTACAAATCATATGAAATTCTACCCGATCCCCCAGCTTAGTTAAAAACAACTAATTCTCTTTCAAAACTTCGTCACAACTAATATCGCTCTCTCCCAGAAACTGTTATGAAAACGTTTAAAAAGACAGTATAGTAATACTGTACGTCATACATGAAATCGTGCCGACCCGAGAGGTCACTTGTTTTGCCTGCACTCGATTGCTATTTACTGTATTGACACATCACCTAAACTAACTGCTGGATTTGAGGTTGTCACAGCGGTTCTAGCGAACTGCATGACTTCTGTCATATTACTTTTTATTTAAATTAACTGTTTAAAATAATTTCACCGCTCCAATGAAAAGCTGGGGTACATTTATATTCCTTGCAAAATCAAGTAAAGTGCTGTTTTTTACAGCTTTGGAAATTTTACCCAATGAGTAAGTTATGATGAATTAAGAACAATGTTCTCCATACTGGTTAGTTTAAAATTAGCGTAGATACTAAATTTTGGAATTTTAAGGGCGAAGAGGATATTTAACTTCCTGTGTTTCACTATTTAAAAAATGAGTCGAGATTTCTCTGTATAGTGACTAGCTGGAGGATGAACGATCAGGCTTCAATTTCCTCCTAGCAGCGAAGTCCAGAACGGTTCTGGAGTCCATCCAGCCTCCTGTCCATTGGGTACACAGGATTCTTTGCCCATGGGATTGAGACGAAGTGTGAAATTCACCTCTCACTTCCATCTAAACATATGGAGCTATATCTCTTCTTCCTTGTATGCCTTCAAGGCAAGTGCTTAACTAAGTACAGGGATAATTTCACCCGTTATTGTAAATGTGGCTAAGTGTTATAAAGAAAATCATATTTAATTTATGTTTCCAGGTACTCTTCTTTTCCTAACTGGCCACTACAGATCAGATCACATGATGCCATTAATTTTAAGTTTTACCACATAAAACATCATCAAAATTTGTTAAATATATCACAGTTTGCAAGAAGTGACAGAAAGGCATTGTCAGACAAAGAGCGGGGGTTCACGAAGGAAAATAGCAATCGCAACGCAAACGCAATTTCCGTAAATTGTTATCAGCATTAATTTAACACACGTTGCTGAATGGAGCAGCGCAAATTGAGGAAACGGCAAAGCAACTCGCGGAAAGCCTGAGAAACTCAACTTCCCGGCAACGGCCTGTCTTCTCACAATTGTGTTGCCGCGTGGTTTCCTAGTATCAGCTGTTCTATTACGCACTTCAGAGATTCATTTGTTTCTTAGGATGGCATAGAAGTTTGACGAAGCTGCTAATTTTGTTTTTGTGCAGTTAACTGGTGTATACGACAAATGCCACCCAGACTATGTTAGGCAGGACAAAACAGATTTAGCTTGGGAAAGAATTTCTCATGAGACGAAGGAGTCCGGATCCTGGTTAAATTCTTTCGAAACAATGTAAGCACCTCAGTTTATACTGTCACAGAAGAACGGATTCACCCAATGTTTTCTTTTCCTAATATTATATTTAAGAATTATCATTTCACATATACTTCAGTCTTAAATATAACTTATATAGTCACCTTTCTTCCAAATTACATGGTTCGGCTGTATACGGCACTCATTAGGTATCTTCTATCTTGCTAAAACAATTGCACGGTATGTCAGAATTTCGAATAGCGTGTGAACGCGATATTTCCTGATTAAAATAAACTGGTATTAACTGAAATAAATTAATTAACATCCCAATATTTTCCTCATGGTCGTCGACCTCTTCACATGCCGCCACAACCGGTCTCAACTACCACCACATTATGACAGGATCAGTATTTTATTCCATCGCAGAAGATAAGTGCGCGAAATTATAAAATGCAATCATGCATTATGTCGGAAGAACGTAACCGCTTAAGATGATGTGAACAACTACTCAAACATAAGTTACCTCAGTGTGCGCCTGTTAATCTGGAAACAATTTGCATGCTTGAAATATGCGATTTTTGTCGGAAATTGTGGTTGCGTTGCAATTGCCAGTTTCCATGATGTGCCCTCGCCCAAAATGTCATACTGGGAGAAAAGTACAATGGTTGGACAAAGAGATGATATACATATGTGCATACATTTTTTATGGATAAAAGTTGCGTTCCTACTTCTATGTATATGCCCAAAAAATAATTCTAACATATTATTAAAGGAAGTTCACTATAGGCCTATAAACTATAGTTCAATAATTTGAAACACTCAGGGGCGTTTCACATGGCTAAATGTTATTTGTAAATATTTTGTACATTCTACAGGACACAGTGGTCTACATACTTAACAACACCAAAGGTCTCACGTCCAGTAGAATCTGTGGGATTTTATTTCAAGGAAGTGGGTGTTCAAAAGAAGAGCCTAGCCTTGAATGGACTGTCGATGTTGATCTTGGACCCAAACCAAATGTCAGAAGAACGGACTATAGGAAAGCAAACGTAAGAGCAATCATGTATTCAAAATTCTCTATTCAGACAACGAATCTGATGAAACCAAGCGAAGAGCTTGAAGAACATGAAATATTTCCCAAAACACTTTTCAGGCCGCTGACGTTCTGACAATTGTTCAACTGTCAGACATTCACCATGATCCTACCTACTTACCAGGTGGGAATGCAGTATGTGGTAAACCAATGTGCTGCAGAAGTAGCCAAGGTTCACCAGAAAATCGTGATGCATCAGCTGGTTACTGGGGCGATTACAGGAGCTGTGATACACCATGGAATATTTTTGAAGATACAGTGCAGCAGATTAAGAGAACTCATCAGGTAAAGAATAACTGTTTTTAATAGATGATGATCTACCATACGGTTAATAAAGAAAGGCGCAGTTGCTATGGCAAGATCACTAAATCCACTCACAGGAAGACTTCACATCATAAATTTAACACATGTGAGCACAAGAAGATTGCATCTACATATTAATCTGTAGAAGATGAAAGATTAGCAGCTGAACATTCAGCCAAATGTTTTTGTCTCTCATTCTGCAGAAGATTCTTCAGTAGAACATACACTATTTTATTCAGTTTCGTTGCTGTGAATTTCTTTGTTGACAAACTGGAAACTAAGTAAAGGCTGACGTTCATTCGAGTCTTCTGGGTTGTAACACCATATAGTCTGGTAAGTAAATTGTTATCATTCTAGAGCAACATGCTGCCTCAGTTTCCAAGGTCCCAAAGATTCATTGTGTGGTCTTTTCAGTTATGACACCTGGAAATCTGGTAGGTGGGTACTAACCTTTTGAGGAACGTCATGCATTCATCTTCAGAGTTCCGAAGATCCAAATGCAATCTTCTAGATTATGACCCAGTGTGGACTGGTATCAACATTTTCAAGGAACATAATACCCAAATTCTTATCATCCCAAACCCTCAAGAAGGGTTTCAATCCAATAGCCACATTTTGGTCATTTCATATCCACCTCCTACACTTTACATTGGATAGTAATGGCCGAAAGGAATAAAAGTGTTACAGATTTGAAATTCATAAACGCAACAGATTTCAATCAGTCAGTCAGAAGTCATCATTTTACGCACTTAATTTTTGCAGAGAATCGATTATATCTACATGACTGGAGATATTGTAGACCATGCCATATGGAATACAAGTATTGAAAAAAATTCTGATGTAATAACAAAAGTTCTGAAACAACTGCAAGCAGATTTTCCAGACACACCTGTGTTTCCAATTCTGGGAAATCATGAACCAAGTCCATTAAATGTGTGAGTATTTTTTCTGTTAATGGATGAAGATTTTCAGTATCTAAGTTACATATTAAGAAGAAAGAAAGGGTTTCTGAAAATGTACTTTGCAGATGCCTACAGTTTTGATTATCAGTATATTGTAACTCAAGGTCATGTAGTTCATCTGTCACAGTTACTAAAGTGTTTGATGTCATTTCATTTTGTAGATTTGGCACTTAGAAAGTTAAATGTGACATTCATGTTTAATTATTCAACCCTGAAATTTGTCATTTATATAGAAATACCAAGAAAATGTTTTAATTTATGCTTTCAAGATAAGAGGCTATGCGATCTGACTTCATTAAAAATTAACGAAATCTTAAGTTAAAGAATATAAAGTTCCAAGGTCAATAAAACCGAAGACCTAACAAAAGTTTTTCCCAAGCCATTTTGGTTCAGAAACATTTTCAATATATGTGTTTCAGTTTAAGACTAATTTTAAAACTATCCATATATTTTTATCCCTGCCTTCCAGAAAATTATTGTCATTGGAATTTCACAGCCCCAACTTCTGCATAGTGTCTTGCGTCCCCCATCCGAGCCACGTGTCCAGCCCATTTTCAGTTTTTTAATGTACTTGTCAAAATTTAAGTGTGCCTGAAACATCTCTGATGTTGCATCAACATCCAACAGTGACATTAATCTTCACATCATCTTTAGAATTTGATTTGTTTCATTCTGGTCTGTCACGCTAATATTATGAAAAAGTTAAAATGGTTCCAAACAGTGTGACTGGTTACCAGTGTGACCAGTCACACTGGATGGAACTATTTTAACTTTTTCATCCTTAGAACGTTATTATATTCTATATTCAATATACGATTGAAACCAAAATCAATATACTTGAGATCTTGGGATTTTTCTCCATAAGGTATGATGGATAATCAAATATATTTATTTTAGACAGATAATACTGTAACGTGTTTTGTTACTGAAGACGCCATAGAGATTGTTAATTGGTTTATTCAACAACCTACAAGTAACGGCTGCAATTAATTATGACAATGTTGCAGGGTTTCACAATTTATAACCCTATTCGTGACAAATAACTTCACGCCTTACTGGATATAGCGAATTTTATTCCACACTCACTCTTACAATCACACAATTTACAGATTCACAATTACTGCTATCTGCAGTATCACAAATACTAGAATGCAAATGCCAGAATACAACCGACTGGTTGCTGGCTAACGCGTTACTCTCCGCTGGCTAGACTGAGAACTCAGAACTGACTGCTGGCTAACTCGGAACTTGAGAACTCGAGAACTGTCTTGAATAGTCTTCGCTGCTCCTTATTTAGCCCCGTTCCGGACAACACAGAAAACAGCCACGTAATAGCTACCACTGTTATTACCGTTGTCTCTCGCAACCACTGCTGTCTATTGCCGTGGTAGCCGATAACCTAGCAACACTGTTGGGAGTTGTTTACCGCTATGTAGTAACTGTGGCGTCCCGTGATACGTCACCGCTGTTGACTCGTGTTGCATAGTGACCAGTGCGCCAGGACTTGGCTCACTTCGGCTCCGCTCGGCACGTCACTGCCGCCAGGGGGGACAATACTTAGCTTTGACATCATGTAATGAAACCTTACCTTTCTTTCCTAGTCTGTCTTAAGTAAAGGGCATATGGGGATGTCAGTGCTCGAAGGGACAACCACATAAAACAGGCTACACTAAGATAGTGGCAGTGTTCTTTGCAGCAGCCCGGTGTTTTTCCTTGCAGCGACTAGGCATAATTTTTTGCCATATCTTGGTGATTGCCAGCTGGCTGGCTGGCGAAGCTCCTGCTGAGGCTGGGTGACCTGATGAGCTCTGGTGATCATTGGCAGAGTCGGCTGCTACTAGGCTCACTGTTATGCTGCTGCCTTGATGCAAGCGTAGTGGTGATTGATGCTAGGGTGTTGGATGTCCGCATTTTTATATTTTCTCTGCCAGGCGGCACGCTAACCAATGGGTGCTGGAGATGCAGTGAAGAGCGCTGATTCGGTAGCGCTCCTTTCACTGTGTGAGGTTCCTACAGGCTAATCAGGAAACTAAAACTGACTCTTTTACAGTTGGTACAATGTAGGTAAATATCTTCTGAAAATGGAACTGCTTGTAAGTGGTGAAACTGTTTCTATTATTACTTTACAGGTTTGCACCACATTACATTACTAACAAGAAAGTTTCAACAAATTGGTTATATCAAATATCAGCAGAAATGTGGTCTGTTTGGCTGCCATCAGAAACGAGAGAAACTATTTTAAAAGGAGGATTCTACACTGTGCTGGCACAACCTGGTTTCCGAATTATAGCTCTTAACAACAATGTCTGCTACCACTTCAACTGGTAAATTGATAGCAGAAGATACTACTTTAGTCACAATTCACTAGGACATGCTCCATTCTCGTCCTTGTATCCTCAGCTACTCTGTACTCCTCTGTCCTAATCTGTACTCAACTCAACTCGCATCACAAACAATACATGTCACGTGACAGCTACCCACTGTTGTGGTGATGTTATTGCATCAGCGCAGAAATGTGTTCGCTGAGCCCTTGCCTAGAAATGGGTTACATAACCCCATTGTTCTGTTGTTGTGGGTTGGACTGTGTTTGAGGAACTGTTGCCTGGCAATGTGTTGATCAAATCTGTTACAATACATTGAGCCCACATGTTTTTTTTACAGAATACATTCATAAAAAATGAATAACATTATTTGCCAGGTGGTTGATCTATAACCCCAGAGATCAAGATGATCAGCTGAAGTGGCTAGCTGAGACATTGCTCCAGTCTGAGAAAGCTGCAGAAAAGGTCCACATCCTTGGGCATATACCTTCAGGCGATACAGAATGTCTCAGAACTTGGAGCAGAGAATTCCACAAGATCATTGAGAGGTTAGTAAAGTATTATAATTTTCATTTCGTGCATCCTGTTGTGTTACAATATACAACTCTTTATTGACCGTCACAACACAACAAACAGAAAAAATCAAGGACAGTGCCCAGCTATGGTTTCGCTACATGTTTCAGCCACTAATGGCTGAGTAGAGTATTATATTACCAGCCCCATAAGAAATGAGACAACAAAATCAGTTCCATTATTTCAGATGTCTTATTCCTAGAAGAAGACAGATGACAAAGTTAATAGTAAAAGGAAAATATTACATGCTCTCATTAATCTTTGTGTTCTTGGTGAGATGATGATAAACAGGATACACAACTGCTTGTACACTGTGGCCTCAATTTATCACCTTTTGACAAACTGAATTTCCATCAGTAAACCACATATTAGTAATTGTCTTCCAGTTGTTGATGTAGCAGGAATGTTTTCCTTTTATCTATTTATAATTTAATTTACATGAAATCACTTTCATAAAACACAGAACATTTAATATTGAAATGGCTGCCAAGCATTCAGAAAGTATTAAGATTCAAAATCAAATTGTCATGCTCTGTATCAAATTAGAAGGATTTCTGAGAAGTGTATGTTAATTTTCAGATTTGAGAACACAGTTATAGCTATATTCAATGGTCACACTCATAATGATCACTTTCATGTCTATTATGCTATTGAAGAACCAACTCATCCTGTCAGTGTGTCAGTCAATGGTGGAAGTGTAACACCATTTAGTGACCTAAACTCTAATTACAAGATCTACACCGTGGATTCTGCCACTTATGTGAGTATATCAGATGCAATGAGGATAAAAATATTCAGTGCTGTATTATTCATAGGAAACTGTAACGTGAAGCACTGGTGCTATTATAGCTGGCAGGGGAAAACAGAAGGGCAAGAGAGAAACAAGTGCCACTATCACATTTCTACTGCAAATCCCATATAGAATATTCTGGTACTGAACCTACTCCTTTGTGATAAAAAGCCGGGGACTAACATCCTAGGCTATGGGAAATTTGATAATTCGTTATTCTTGATTTAAAATTCTAGGAGGAGCAGAAGAAAAGGGGAATAGATTTGAATGGTACAAGCTGCATGTAGTGATTAGCACTTATTAAATAAAAAGTGGTGGATCTGATTTTGAAGTGAAACAGGTACATACTGTAGTCTCCTGGGTCATTAAACTATTCTGTCTGCTAGCTGGATACCAATGTTTCGGAGGATCATATTTCTTCCAGCTTCAGGGTAGATGTGTCATAACCCAGAGAGGCGCATAACTAATCCTCAGTGACATGATAACCTCATATCTCATATATGGAACAGGTAGTTCATGTTCCTTGTAAACTTCCAGGTTTCTGCACTGCAGATATTTAAAAATTAATTCATGATAAGATAAGGCTTCTAGGATGTGTAACCTTGTACTCCATAAGATAGTTACCAACATTTTGGAACAACCTACTGCCACTATCTTCAGGACAGAAGAATTTCTTCAAAATGAAATAGCAGATCCCTCTAAAATGTTCATGTTTACCTCCTAGAAAATACTGTGTAACATCTCAGAATACAGCAGTTTTAACATTCACAGCTGTGAGAACCTCAAATCTGTAGTGGTGTATAATGTGAATTGCTGAAGTATCAGAGGTTTATATGGATGTAATGACCTAAGAGTTACAGAAACACTTCCATGTTTATATGAAATGTTCCAAAGTCTAAACATGAATTTGAGTAAATATTACCCAAGATTCTAATTTATGATGATTTTTAATACATGCCTACAGCTTCAGAAATAGTTTAATTTAATATTGTATATCCAATTTCCAGCTGTGTAAAAATATAAAAATTAGAATATACAAAACTGTAATTTTGCCTGTGGTTCTGTATGGGTTTGAAACTTGGTCTCTGACATTAAGGGAGGAACATAGAGCGAGGGTGTTTGAGAAGAGGGTGCTGAGGAGAATATTTGGATCAAAGAGAGATGAAGTGACAGGAGGTTGGAGAAAACTGCGTAATAAGGACGTTAATAACTTGTGCTATTTGCCAAGTACAATTAGAACGATCTAGTCATGGAGGATAAGAAGGGCAGGGCATGTAGCATGAGTGGGGGAGAAGAGGAATGTATATAGGAAATTGGTGGAAAAACCAGAAGGAAAGAGACCACTGGGAAGACCAAGATGTAGATCAATGGACAATATTTAAATTTATCTGAGAGAGAGAGAATGGGATCATAAGGACTGGATCATTCTGGCTCCAGATAGAGATCAGTGGTTAGAGCCCTTCCACTTCTTTCAATATATGGATGGATATTTTTGACTGCTACTGTGAACTCTTTTCAGAATATACTAGACAGTGAAACTTGGATCTTCAATTTGACAAAAGCCAACACAAATGCCAGTGTGAATCCAACCTGGTTTAAATTATATTCATTCAAAGATATTTATGGAGTTGAGTCCCTGACACCCACAGAAATGGATAAATTGACACACAGATTGGCTGCCAACAGAAGTCTTCTAGAAGAATATTCAAGGTACTTCATTAATGATGTTTAGTTACATGCACTAATTCCTACAACACTATGCATAAATACAACTGCATCTGACTAGTTTCTTTCGAATATGAAATCATCAGTAACAAATGAAGTTACAGCTACGTTTTCTGACTCTGTAACTTAAATGCTTAATAAACACATAATGAAAAGAATATACATAGGATCTACTAATAATCTTTATCTTAACAAGCAAGAAGTTGTGGACTGATTAATTCTTATACGTCGCTGCAGCTCTCTGAGAACATAACCCTCTTTGTGGTCTGTCATACATACATATATATATATATATATACAGGTGTCATTGGCAAAGAGACCTAGATAGACACCAGGTGTTTGGGGTGTATTATACAGATGTGGGGGGTTTGGTAAGTTAAGGTTGTCCCTGTGCTTAATTAATTAAACACTACACCATGAAGGCGTAAGGGAGAGTGGATGTATAGAGTCACATTTTCTTGACCTCGGCACTGTTTGGAGGTGAATGGTCAGCTTCACGTCCTGGCCGCTTTACCCCCAAGGAAAGAGTCCCTGGTACCCAATGGATAGGAGACTTTTCAGCTTTGCTTTGGAATATGCTATTAGGAAGGTCCAGGAAAACCAGGTGGAACTGGAATTAAAATGAACTTATCAGATGCTGTATATGCTGATGTGAGTCTAGTAGGTGATAATATAAATACCATAATGAAAAACACACATTTTTTAATTGATGCTAGTAGTGAGGTTGGTCTAGAAGTAAACACAGAGAAAACTAAGTGTATGTTACTGTCTTGTCACCAAAATGCAGGGAAAATCATGACATGAACAGAGGTAACAGATATTTAGAAAATGTGGCACAGTTAATATATTTGGGAACGACTATAACAAATCTAAACTTGACTCAGGAGGAAATTAATGGGAGATTGAACTCAGGTAATGCTTGCTACCATTCGCTTCAGAACCGTTTGTCTTCTCGTCTGCTGTCTAAAAACATAACAATTAGGATATACAAAAATATAATTTTGCCTGTGGTTCTGTATGGGTGTGAAACTTTGTAGGAACGTAGACTTAGGGTGTTTGAGACCAGGGTGTTGAGGGGAATGTTTGGACCAAAGAGAGATGAAGTGACAGGAGGTTTGAGAAAATTGCATAATGAGGAGCTTCATAAGTTGTACTCTTCTCCAAGTACAATTAAAATGATCAAGTCAAAGAGGATGAGATTGGCAAGGTATGTAGCATGAATGGGGGAGAGGAGGAATGCATATAGTATTTTGGTAGGAAAGCCAGAAGGAAGGAGCCCACTACGAAGACAAAGACATAGGTGGGTGGACAATATTGAGATGGATCTTTTTTCTTTTATTGATAGTGGGGTAGGTCTAAGTCCCTTGTACTGCGGCCACTGCTGGCCTATTGTACCAGCCCCAGATGATAGGTGAGGGCGATTGTGGAGCAATTGGTGGAATGAAAAGTACTCAGAGAAAACCTACCCCAGCGCCACTTTGTCGACAACAAATCCCACTTGGCCAGACCCAGGATCGAACCTGGGCTGCCGCGGTGGGAAGCCAGCGACAAACCGCTTGAGCTATGGTGCAAAATGGATCTTAGAGAGATAGTATGAGATGGTATTGATTGGATTGATCTGGATCAGGATAGGGACCAATGGATGCTCTTCAGAACACGCTAATGAACTGGTTCTTGAGTAGATGCACAATTGGCAGCTTCTCAAGAAGGGCTCAGCTCCAGGAGTGAGTGAATAGTAAACATGCTTCATTGCTGCTGCACACTCAGTACCAATTAAAATGTGGATACACAGTAAGACAGGCAGTGATATGCAAGCAAGCAACAAAATATTTCTCTCTGTTGCAGATATTATGTGAAAAATGCTGATACAGCACTTGCAAATGGATGTGATTCACAGTGTCTAAAGACCAAGCTATGTTATACAGCAACAGCAAAGATGGGAGATTCTACTCAGTGTGACAGATTAATGCAAGAATATGAAGCAGCTAATGAGCGCGGTGGTGACAGTGGCATTATTAATACTGTTAGTGGCTATTTGAAGCCACTAATTAATGGCTAATAATTTCCATATTTAAAATATTTAAAAAGTTAGAAACAAGTGATTCTGTTGTGCTATATTCTAAGTTACACATTTACTTGCTGAATTCTACAAATCTTTTGTTTCCACTGCAAGTGTAACAGTAGGGAAACTTTACTAATAAAAATAAACACATCTGCAGTAACACAACGTATACAGTGTTCTGAAAGTCAACAAACATTTTTATGGTTGAAGAACAAAGCCTTGCTTGCTGTCTGCATTATGCTGGTTTCTTGTTTGACTTACTTCTCAACCCTGAAGATGGGGGACGATCTGTTCCTCCGAAACATTAGTTGACTTCCAATGGAATACACAACTCTTTCTCCAATTTTATTTTTTTTAAGTTTCATAAAAGTGTAGTATTGAGCAAGGATAACTCAGTCGGTATAGCAACTAGCTACAGGCTAGAAGGTAGGTTCGATTCTTGACAGGGGCAAGAGAATTTTCTTCGCTCGACAGCGTCCAGATCAGCTCTGAGACCTACCCAGCCACCCATAAAATGGATGCTGCTGGCTCTTCCCCAGGGTTAAAGCAGCCAGATCCTGAAACTGACAACCATCTAGTGCCAAGGACAAAAATGGTGAATCCATACCTTCACTCCCCAAATGATTTCATGGCACAGTGGTTACTAAATTAAGCAGCGTTATATCTTTACCTTTCCCATAGAAGTGCAGGTTATGGAACCAATTGACCTCTAGGCAGTGTTCAAAATTAATACACAAAATTACTGAATTACTGTAACTACCGAAATCATATCATCAAAATTGCTTCAATGTATTTATCATCTAGATATCTGTCACATTAAAATGGACTTATTCTGAGGATACTCTGTATTACAATTTTGATAAAATCCTGTCATGTTTCATATATGTGTTATCTTAATCCTTGTGTCATGCTTTGAAAGGCACAAATATAGGCCATCCAGAAAAAATTAACAGGTAATTTTCCTTACTCATTATAGAATATAAGCAAATTAGCTTGCTCCTTCCAAAGCATATTTCCCTCCCAATGAGTATATGACCCTATTCAGGGCAAACCATTATGCACAAAACTGAGGCCACGAATGAAGACAGACTGAGTTGATGTTAATGCAGTTTATTGTTTGTAAAAATTATATGCTCCTCTTTTTGTAGTGGCTGCAAATATAGTCTGCATTGATGTTTCTGGCATCTACCCTCACACATTCCGTTTCAGAGGTGGGAGCACTCATATTGTGGATTCTCCTGTTACTCCCCCTCCCCCAAAGTGATCACTCTATAAAGAGAGTGATTGTCAACAGGGTCAACAACTCAATGCGGGATCAGAATAATAGAAGGGAGGGAGTATTCATCACATTTCCAAAGTTTGATTTTCTGACCGACCACAAAAATTCACAAATAGATCTGATCACGGTTCAGACTCCAGGCTCCCTAAATTACAATGAAATGTTCAGATTACTGTTATGCATAGCATATTAATCCCATCTAATATTATTCCCATGGGTTAGTTTTAAAACTTTGCTTGGGCAGGAAAGAATTGTAATTCTATGAGCAAAGAATTGCACCAGCATATAAAATTAAAAAACATGAAGCATTATGACACTCCATGCAGGAATAACTGAAAGAACTAATAATTTAACTAGATGTAATATTTTAAACACAATTCTCAAACTTGTCTCTATTGAAGAGTTCTATATTCTGGAATTTAACAATATATAGTCCGTTGTAAATCAGTTGGCATTTTGCAGCAACATGTCACCTGTGAAGGGTCAGTTGACTTTCAACAGAACCCATGGTATCACAAGCCTGGGTATAAAAATCTTCATAACCATTGCTGTGAGAATCTCAAATCCTATTTGTCAATGTTGTTTATATATTTATGATTCCTACTTGGAATAAAAAAAAAAAACTTTAGAAAGACCGAGGAGACCGGAAATTTCCTTGAAAATGGAAATAATGCGAGATGAGGAAGTTACGCATTAAGAAATATAACTAATTGCAGATAGCTTTGGATTAATACATCCTTCATATATGTATCTGGAACTGGTATAGTTAGTTTAGTTAGTTAGTTATTGGAGAGGGTGGGTTTACCCATGCACTTAGACCAGTATTGGTCCATTGTGCTTCCCTCTATGATATTCTACCAGACTCTATACCCTACCGATAAATGGTGCGTACCATCAGTCCCGCCGAGCAAGTGAGTTCGGCCACTTGCTTAGCGGTATCTATAATGCTTCCCCCATCTATCAGAGGCCGTAGAGACTATTGTTGGGCGGGAAACATCCTGGAATTTGGCTCAGTGATCCCCTTTGGAGATATGAGGTTCTTTTACGTGCCGTAAAGTTACGACACCTGACACGCAGCTTAAAGTCCCTGCCGGAGGACTTGTTCCCTGAATTTTTCCGCCCTTAAAAATTTGACGTCCTCCACCGGGTATTTGAACCCGCGTACCACGAGTAATGAGGTGGGAACGTTACCTCTAGACTACGGAGGCCGCTTTGGAACTGGTATAAATGATAACTTAATTTTGGAAAGTCAGGGAAATTAAACTGAAATATATATTATTGTGTAAAAAATTCCATTTTCTTCACATTACCCAATTAACCTAACCTCCTGATAATTCTCTCCTTAGAGGATTAAAATTATTGTAATCTCTTTCTTAGGCAACACTATCAAGGTTATACTATTTGTGTAATGTGAACAGGCGTGCCCTTGGGATGAATGGGGCCTAATCCAGAAATTCTGATCTCTCCTTCTCCTTATCCTGAGATAAGGCTCAAAGACAGCTCCTCACAAGGTCTCGTTTATAGACGAAATCACTATCTCTGCTCTACTGATGTAATCTACATTCAAGAGTTACAAAGCCTATGGCATGATTTGGTCATCAAATACAGATATTGATATAATCAGATAATGGTTTTCCTGGCAAACAATAATAAAAAGAAGACTGAGGTTTGAGTGGATTTGTTTAATAAGGCTATCAACTGCAAGTGTTATACATAGGGAATGAGATGAAACATTAACACGTGGTGCACAAAAGAGAAACAGTGGAGCAAATAGTTATAACCTGTGTAAGATTTGAGGCTTGCACGGCGGTGACTATGAAGAAAGCAGTCTTCTGGGATTTTGCACCGTGTATATGTGGTGTTAACCGACGTTCCTCCGAAACGTCGGTTAACACCACATATACACGGTGCAAAATCCCAGAAGACTGCTTTCTTCATAGTTATAACCTAATTTAGGTCTCTTTTGACATTAGCCTGTAGATCCTGAGGATCATCATTTGAATTTCGATTAGATAGGATACAAACCTAGTGTCCTCAAATATGTTTCATGCATTGTTGATGGTAGGTATGACAATGCAATTAAAACAATAATGTGACATGTTCTTTATCTGATGGCTTTGATAGCCAGTAAGGTTCTACAGAATGAAAATAAAGATAGATACAGATACAGATGCCAATTCTCAGTTACATAAGCTAAATAGCATACACATAAATTGTACAAGCTAATTAATTCTCAGACTTAAATTAAATTCAAAAGAATATGCAGACAGGATGCATGATGCTAGATATCCATAATTTTCGTACTTATATAATCCTGAAGGATACAGAAACTTGGAAAGAACCGGAAGAATATGGCAAAATCACATTTAAAATAGCTGAGCACCCAAACTTTGGGTTAAAAGAAGAAGTATGAGTTGGAAGAGGAGGAAGAGTAGTGGTGATGGTTGTGGTGGTGGTGGTGGTGAAGGTGGTAGTAGTAGTAGTAGTAGCAGCAGTCATTAAATATCATGGTAATAAGAAATTCATTTGTTGATTCCAAAATGAGAAACAAAAATTGTTTTAATTAGATTGAAATTAGCACACACACACACACACACTCATGGAAAAGTAATTGAGACGTTCACATTGTGATCCAATTACGACATTATGTAGTCTGTTAAAGAAGGATGCCAAGATTTCAGACATTTAGATATTCTGTTAACCCAAGCCTCAACACATATCTATAATTTCAGAATGATTGGCTTCTTCCAGGAATCTTGCTGAAAGACATGAGCAGATTTATTTGCTTCTAATGCCCCTGCCAAGGAACATAATGCTTACTACGCCCACAAAAGATTGAATTGCAAGAACACAAAACTGATGAATCATGTCGTCAGAAGTAATACCAGAAGTACTGGAGTGGGAAGTCTTCAGACATTAATTCCCNCCCCCCCCACCCTACCGCATTTTTGAAAGAACAAGATTGAAAATGAAGGAAGGAAATATGTAATAACATTATTTTTAAAAAACGTAATCTTGTATCCTGAACATTCTACGGCTTTCGGTAAAATTCATCATAAATGGTGTAAACATACATTTGTAAAAGAAGTTTCTTGCTGCCCCCACTCTTAAAAAAATCTGGTAGCAACCAGGAAGTCATATTCATCTCTCTGTATTTGTGCACTAGATGTACCCACTGAATCATCATAAAATGTAGGAAAAAAATTACTATATTGCCATCTAGCATTAATCCTTCCCATACAATGAAGTCCTTGAAGAATTAACTATATTTCTTCATTATACATAACTGGACAAATGAGCACTGTACAGGGAATTACTGAATAATTATGACATGAAAGCACTTCATTACAGGGGATTTCTCACCTTCAACTTTCGTCCCCTTTTGATGTTCTTAAGAAAGTAAAAAAGAAAGTTATGTGGTGCCCTTGTCCGTCCTCATACATCAGTGACCTGGTATCATCACCTGAGCAGATTTCCTTAATTTAATATGGAAACGTTTTACAAAATCTGTTGGGCAATTCTGATTAGCAGCCATGCTGACCCATAATGTTTAATTCACATAAGGCCTGAAATGGTAATTTCATGCATATCATAAATGGTTAATTGGATTTTGGTGAAGTTTGCGAAAAGAGATTTGCTCAACATTAGTTGGCCATTTTGATTCTTAGCCACACTAAATCATGCTTTGAATATCACATTTATTTTCTTTAGGAGATTTAAGAAATAACGAAACTTCTGCTTTAGCTTCCACAAACACCTTGCCTGTAAGCTTAATAAATTGAAAAGAATATTGTCAAAAATTTTATGCCCTACATTATGGAGTAAATGCTTTCCATTCTTATTAATAATACATATGAAAGACTCTGATACTCACTACTGGTATTTAGGGCTCAGAGAGCCATAGAAAGTATAGAAGCTAGCCATCCCTATTCCACATAAGTGAAAGCCAAAATTACCTCTTATCTTAAAGAGATTAAAAACCGAGCCATAGGAGAGAGCAGAGGTATAGCTCCACCACTCTTAACCTCAGCACAAGATGGAAGTGATTGGCCAGCTTCAGGTCACAGCAACTTAACCCCAAGGGAAATGGCCCCAGGTAACCATTGTATATGCAGCTTGGTAGGCCCCTGAGCTGGTCTGGACATTGTGGAGAAGAGAGAAAGTTGTTGCCCCTTACCAGGAATCAAACCCTAACTTTTAGGCTGACTAGCCCATAGCCTAGTCTCTACACCAGTTGAGCTATCTCAGACCCGATACTTATTGTGAAATGAATGTGGAGTTTGAAGCTTTAGTTGTTTTCGAAATAAAAGAATGTTTAATTGGCCTTATCATTTACAATGGCAGATCATGTAAAAGATAACAGTGGTTCAAGAGATGTGATTTCTATATAATAGAAGATTATTGTTCAGTAGACAGAGCTATTTGTGTGCAGAGACCATGCTGCTGCAACAGGTTATTTGGTCAGCAGTGCTGACAGTCACAATTAGTTTGGCAACAAATGCCACCTCTTTAAAAGGTGAGTTTCCTGTCCACTATAAATTTTTTCAAATGCAGTCTTTATGAATTTGTATTCCTTCATTATACTGATTGTCATCTACTGCGGCAACAAATCAATTTGTTTCATCTATGTTTTTCTATGTTATTCATCTCATACTAAATCTTGCAGTAGAAACGAGTGTTAGAATTTATACACAGGCACTGGAAAAGTAACACTGCAGATTAAGATTATGTCGGTATTATTGTATACTGCTTAGCAGATTGTTCAAAATGGCGATCACCATGGTAGATATGTAGTTCACATCTTTCATAAACACTCTGTGAACCTGTAAAATGTACTTGGCAGGGCAACTCGCAACCTAAATTAAAACTGCAGTAATAATTTCACACCATTCTGTTGTGTGATGGGTACATGCCTGTTGAGAGAAAATTACCAGGTCATCAGCATTAGGAAATCTTAAGGAAGTCACTGTTTTATAATTTCAAAATGACAGAGAAATATCAAAATTTATTTTTGTTTCCTTCACTTTGTACTACCATTTTATGGCAAAAGAAAGCACTATGAACTGGCAACACAAAGCATTTACCTACTCTTGATAGGAACATAATTTATGCACTGTACTTTGTTAACTTTTATATATAATATCAGAAGTTCTTGTATGTCTAAACAGGATCTATATTATATACCATGAATATTTTGCATGATTGGCTGTCTTTTGAGAGAAATGATAAAACTCAATCCGAACTTCATGTTAAATAGGAATTGTATTGAGAGACATTTGGCATTACAGCCCCAATTTTGGCCTGAGCCTACCTCCATGAAACTCTCCGTTTCACTTCGGTTTACTAGATCGTAGACATTTGGTAGAACTCCTTGGGTGGGTGATCAGCTCGTTGCAAGGCCTATACCTGTGCACAAATGCAGAAAAGCACACCCATGCATGCACACACACACACACACACACACACACCAAACATCCATGCCCTGAGTGGGATCTGAACCCATGATCCTGACTTCCAAGCAAGTGGAGACAGTGCATCCTTAGTCCGTTTGGCTGCCGTGACTGCCTTGAGTGACATATACAAACGTAAATTTGATGTTGACTCCTGATACATATTCTGGGAGATGAAACGTTGACTGATGCAGAGAGACAGAAAGAAATATGTATCCATTATCAGTTCAATTTCTGTACTTCAGGCAAAAATGTAAAAATAGTGGCAATTCCTTAACAGTTTTAACAGGATTGTGAATTTTCTCTTTTCTCAATGTATTACAATGAGTAAATACTGTTATGGGGCAGGCATTAGTGTAGTTGGTTGAAGTACTGTGCTAGAAGCCGGAAGGTCACATGTTCGATTCCTGATGGAGTCAGTGGATTTTTCCAATTTAGTTAATCCATCCAGCTGCACTATAGTCCTAGGTTCAACTCAGCCTCTAACAGAAATGATTAGCAGGTGGTAAAGGGCGCTCAGAGATTAAGGCTCACAACCTTACCATCATCTGGATAACCCAATTTGTGAAAGGTGCCTACAGGAAAACGAATTAGTCGCACACATCCTGTGTGATTGTGAGGCCATAGCTTATTTAAGATTTCATCACTTGGGTCAGTTTTTGATGGAACCAAGTGACTTTTATGACACCCCCATAAGCAGGGTCCTACACTTTATTAAAAGTGTAGGATTAATAAAGGGCTAATCCAAGGGAAGCACAATAGATCATGCTATCCCTGTAACAGGCCATGAAGGCCCATAGGGTTGTGGGACGTTGAGGTTGCCACATTGTCTGGACAGTCGGCTCACAGATGGTGGTGAGGTTGTCAGCCTTACCCGCTGGCTACCTTTTACCCCCCAAGAAAATTCCTGGTACTCATTTCTGTTAGATGCTGACTCAAACCCAAGGTCATAGTATGGCTGGAAGTGTCATCCTTCATTGCTGAGGCCCAAAAATATTCAAATAGAACTATCAGCTGGAGAAGCCATATCAAAATTTTCTGGGATATAAACATTGTCATAGCAAAAGTATCCCACATAGGAGCTCCATAATGACCGTTCCCAAAATTCTTGAGTGACAATTTTAGCAATCATAGAACTGTCCACAAAGTCCTCCCATAAACACCATGCTTACTATAACTAAACCTTATACCGAGTAACTATCATTTTACTGTGGTAGCTTTTAATGTAGTCCACATTGATAATGACAACAAATTGCAATGTTTGGCACAAAACTAGCTACACTACCAACCAAAACAATTCTTCCACAGCATCATGAATATGATGAATAGAAAAGTGTTATTGAGAAAGAAGGTGACTATTTGAAAAATAATTTGGATTATTTTTATTTTAAATGAATACAGTTATTTATAGCAAAAATGAATATTTTCATTTTAATTGTGGTTAAGACAAAAATATTTAATTACAGTTATAATTATGGCAAATTTGGCTGTATCTATTTCCAAAATGTACTAATTGTTCAAAGGTTGAAATAGAAGGTGTCAATACCAAGCATTTCTTTTAGTGAATTATATATTCGTCTCCAGTGCCAGGATAGCTCAGTTTGTATAATGAGTTATAGGTGGGATGACTGGGGTTCAATTCCCAGCAAGGACAAGATTTTTCTATTCTCCATAGCATCCAGACCGGCTCTGTAATCCACTGAACCTCCTATCCAATGGGTCGGAGGTGGCTAGGGCGTGAAGCTGACCAGTTACTTCCATCTAGTGTCAAAGTCGATGGTGGAGCTGTACTTCCTCTCACAAATATGTTTTCATGTCATAGTGTTTCATTTTTACTCACACCTTATGTATTCCTTTCAATGGAACTTAGCTTCCACTTGGATTGAATTGGATATGCAGACATGAGAACAATTAAGAGTAATTATGTTAAACTGCACCATGAACAGTTGCAATCAGCACTTAGAATGAGAAGGAATCTTCTTCTTCCAACTGAAGATTGCATGTTACAAGCCCATCAAGATATCCAGAAGAGTGACTTTACTCTCCATAGGAACTGGCCACTTTATAAAAACTCTTGCATATTTTAAAACATTCTATTCTCTAGGTGCCGAAAGACATAAGAGAAATGAGATGTTGCACGAGCTCAGAATATTTGATGAAACTGGGATAATCACATCACGGTTGTCTGCAATACTGAATCAGCTGCCTTTGTCATCTCTCTTCAGCATGAAACCAAGCACAGCAATTGAAACACGAGGTGATCTGATCTGTACAGCATGCAATACAGTGATAGATGTTCTGACAGAATATATAGAAACTCATTCACGAGAGGAAGTTTTAAATCTTCTGTCTACAATATGCATTCAGTTTGCAAATTACAGTACCGAAGTATGTCATGGACTTATTGACTTGAACTTGGTGAGTGAAATTCTGTAATAAAATCAACATTATCCCTTGCATAATATTATGTAATTTTACTTAATGGTGGCATCGGTAAGTCATCAAGAAGTTAGTAATACAAATTTCATACCAATCAGAATATATTATGTAATAAAAGTGACAAACTATTTATGATACATTTAACATAGTCGCTATAGTGACTGGCTACAGACTGGACGACCCAGGTGTCAGAGTTAAAGTCCCAGTAGGGTCAAGAATTTTCTCTTCTCCATGTCGTCCAGACCGGCTCTGGGGTCAACCAACCTCCTATCCAGTGGATAACCGGGTGCTCTTCTCCCATGGGTAAAGCAGCTGAGGCATGACACTGACCACTCACCTCCAGCTAGTGCTGAGGTCAAGAAAACGTGGATCTATGCATGCACTCTCCTGTACGCCTTCATGGCTTAGTGCTTAATTAGTTAAGCATAGAGACAACTTTACCATATATTATTTAAAACTAAACTTATCATATGATTGTATTGTATTTTATTTCATCCTTTTTGCTACATAGTAACACTTGGACATGTCATTCGGTAATACACTTTAACAAAATAAATCTACAAAGTTACAAGCATACTACCAACATTTGTTACAATCATAAGCAATATATAAATACAACATTCCAAAAAATATACAAACTACTATATACAGCTCATGAATGGCTTTGACATCCAAACATAAGTACTTGCAACATCCACGTTTTTATTAAAACTAACAAATTCATTTATTGTATAAAAAGAATATTTCAATAAAAATGATTTTAAGTCCTTTTTAAAAGCTGAAAAACCCACCGAGTTTTTTATTTTCTTTGGCACATTCTATCCCCATATTTACCACACTTTTTTTAAATAATGTAGTTCTGCAGAATTGAACATGAAAATCCTTGTTTATTCTTGTATTATAACTATGAATATTTATATTTTGGATCAAATCTGCTTTGTGCTTTTTTATGTAACATAACACTTCTAAGATATACAAAGATGTGACCGTGAGGATGCCATAATCTTTAAAAATTTGCCTACATGACTCTTGTTTACCAAGTCCACTAATTATTCGTAACACCCTCTTCTGCATTTTAAATACCTTTATTCTATCCCCTTAACCCCCCCCCCCAAAAAAAATATTTTTCCATATCTCAATAATGATTGAAACTTTCCAAAATAAATGCTTCTTAACATATTTGGACTCAAAACTCCTCTTAGTGATTTAATTATATAGGATGTTTTACTAAGTTTTGAACATAATGACTGGATGTGGGTATTCCATTTAAGGTTTTTTATAATATCTATACCTAAAAATCTCAGTTCCGATAAGTAAACAATTTCCAAGTTATTATAGAGTATATGCAGTTTAACTACAAACCTATTTTTACTAAGATGGAATGACATAGCAGCTGTTTTTTTAATATTTATTAAAAGGTTATTTATCTGAAACCATGTTTCAAGCTGTTTCATGATTTTATTTATTTTCTGTTGAGCTACATCTTCATCTTTATCAGTAACAAGTAGATTAATGTCATCTGCAAACAATACCATTTCCGCACCTTGTACATTTAGCGGGAGATCATTTATATACGGAAGAAACAGTAGTGGTCCCAGAATTGACCCTTGTGGTACCCTATGTACTGTTTCACCCATGTATTTTGGATGATATTTTTATTCAGGTGATTTATTTCAACAAATTGTACTCAATGAGATAAATAAGATTTAAACCATAAATTAGTAACCTCTCTGATCCCATAGTAATTTAATTTTTCTAGTAATACATTGTGGTCTATCACATCAAATGCCTTTGTCAAGTCAAAAAATATTCCTATAACGTGTACCTGTCTATCCATCGTCTCCTGTATACTCTCAATGAAGGTCTGGAAAGCTGTTTCTGTTGATTTGTTTTTCCTAAATCCATTTTGCACTTCTGTTAATATGGTATATTTTGTTACAAAAGATATCAACCTGTTATACACCAATTTTTCTAGTATTCTGGAGAACACCGACAAAACTGATATTGGCCTGTAATTACAAACTTCCTGTTTTTCCCCTTTTTTATATAGTGGTCGTACTTTAGCTATTTTCATCTTATCCGGAAAGACGCCCGATTTTAAAGAGGCATTAAAAATATCTACTAAAGGTTTCTTTATGTCATGTGAACATCTCTGGGCTAAATATTCTTGAATTTCATCAAAGCCTGCAGATGGTTTACCACATAGACTTTTTATTACCCTCTCTATTTCAATTTTGGTAATAGGGAGCCAAAACATTGTGTTCATTTGATATTGAATCCTCTGTTGTGAGGTTTGTACTGGAGAATGGATTACATTATTCGCTAAAAGATCTTCAACACTTTCAATAAAAAAGGAATTCAACATGTCTGCCATTTTTTGTGGATTTGATGTTTCCTTACTTCCATTCTTTAAACTAGTTATATAGTCGCCCTGCCGAGAATTTCCAGATTCTTTATTTATTATTTGCCAAATTGCCTTTGTTTTGTTATGTGAACTTAACATAAACGTATCATTTTCTTTTAGTTTCTGTTATAACCCTTTTATAGATTTTCAGATGTCTATTAATGTATTCTAATACATTGTTTGAAAATTTTGTATTTTTCTTTAAAGTGTTTAAAAGTCTAATTTCCTGACTTGAAACCTTTATCCCCTGGGTAATCCATTTAATCTCATTACAGTTTTTCTTATAAACTGTCTTTAAAGGAAAAGCTCTTTCAAAATAGTACAAAAATCTGATTGAGAAAAGTGATTTGTGTTTTGGGTTTATGCATGAATATATATGCTTGTATTTGTCAGTACGTATGTACGTGTCTGCATATCTGTGCATGCACACAACATCAACAGTTTTCATTAAGCTAGGTATTCCATACATAATTTTGTTCAGATCTGATAAAGAGTTCATTAGCTAAAGAATTAGACAGACAGATTTTCTGATGAACTGAAAGATAGTGGCTGGACAGATATTCCAGGCATAGATGGCATATGCAGACTGATGAAAGATGTTCATAAACACACAGTCCATATCATGTTCATTTTATACATACATATAATCTATGCAAAATGCTTTAAATCACTTTACAAGTTGTGTATGAAAGCTAGGGAAAATATTTAAAAAGTCTGAAGACTGAATATCTAAACTAAAGATATACAGACCTGATGATTCATTATGCACAATGCAAAATGTGAAATGTCATTTCAAATGTTCAACAGGATACAGTATTCTACATATTCAACAGAACCAAAAGCATCAATTCTAGACAATTCTGTGGAATCTTGCTGCAAGAAAATGGCTGTTTTAAAGATGAGCCTAGTCTTGAGTGGACTATTGCTATTCCATCCAAACCAGAAGTTAACAGAACTGACAATAAACGAGAAAATACAGAAGTAAGTCCATACATGTAAAATTATTGGTTGATAGGAGATATTAAAAATTTCCTCACTATATCAAAATGAAATATAACTGTGCTAATATGAAATAAAAATGAGTCACTGGTATTTAATACTGAGACTGTGGAAAGAGAAAGCTATTGAATAAGTAATGGGAGGTTTATCATAGTGGATTATTAAAGAATCTTGCAGTCTCTATGCTTAAAAGTCATCCTGTCCTTTGGATGGTTAAAGCCTATGATAAGCCATTTTATAGTCACACTAATTTTTAGCCAAGTCAGATGTAGTAGAAAAAATAAACTCAAAATAAATATACTATTCATAATATATTAAGATATTTTCCACATAGGAATCACTTAAAGTCTGTTAAAGAGCAGTGACAGAACATTTATGTTAACCATGTTAGCCTGGCTAACTTTTTTGAAAAATGGGATAAAAAGTGTTATAGTCATGTGTAGTAGCATTCCATATACTAACAGGAAAAATGATCAGACAATGCATCTTTTTCCACCCGAATTGAGCCGGCCCATTACAAGCATGTTAGATATTTCCTCATAGATTACACTAGCCATTTGTAAGCACAGGCACAATTAGGAAAGACATGATATAGTGTTAGCTTGAGGGAAGGAGAGAGTGTGACATTCCGCACCATAGTTCACTGTACCAAGCTACCAGGGTTAGCCAAATTTAATGGAATAGAATGTTAACACATTTCAGTTTCTTACAGTTCACAAAACAAGCAAGTAACTGGCAGGCAAGCAACAGAGGGATATGCCACACCATAGCTCAAGCGGTTAGTCGCTGGCTTCCCACCATGGCAGCCCGGGTTTGATTCAGGGTCTGGTCAAGTGGGATTTATGGTGGACAAAGTGGTGCTGGGGCGGGTTTTCTCCGAGTACTTCGGTTTCCCCTGCCAATCTTCATTCCACCAAATTCTCCATCATCGTAGTCACACGGGGCAGGCTACAATAGGCCTTTCAGTGGCTGCCGTGCCAAGTGGACCCAGTTGGACTCCACCTCCCACTAAGCAAATTAAAAAGAAAGAACAACAGAGGGATGGTAAAATGCATATTTATGCTCTAAGATATAATGATATTTTTTCAAGACCTTTACTTCAATTTTTATTTGATAGTATACTCAGGAATAATACTACATGCAAAGAAACATTTCAATGTTATGCAAGCCAAGAGAACATCAGTTACTCTTCCAAAAATGGACGAATTTCAGAAATTTGAACAGAGAAGCACAACAGTTTACAAAAGATTTGGTCAGAAATTGAGACATGCTCACAGGAGGGAATATACTCTCATAAATGTTGTATGAGGAACAATGAATGTTAATAATTAATAATGGTTGAAAAACTTCCTGTCACCAGCTGTATCATAAAATAATTTACACTGTGAGAACGCAGCTGACCAATCTCTTCTCCAAAATTGTCCACCTTAATTTGTTCAATTCTAGGCTTTGGACATTATAAATAATATTCTGAAAAGATTCCAACTACTGCTTATGTGTCATCATTGAAATCATATGGACAGAGTTCTGACCAGTTTTCCTGAAATCTAAGATTTCTGTTATTTATTCATCAGAATTATTTTTACATAGTAACATTTCACACCTGCACTAACATCTGACTGCTGAATACCAGAAGTCACAAAATTACCTGCCTTCTTCCTAATATTCCAACATCAAGTGCACTTATCAGTCATTCTGATTTCTAAGGATGGCCCATACATACCTATGCAGAATGCAGACTTGTGAAGTTGTTATTAATAACAATTGATAAGAAAATCCATCAAAACTCAGAAAACAGTCCAAACTTCTGTGACAGATAATCTCAAAAAAAAAAAAGAATTGTCACATGGAAAAGAATTACAAAGTGTCATAAAGTAATTTAAACTCAGAACTTGCTAACCACTTCTCTTATTTTACATGTCCTTCCACTTTTATTTCATAATTGTATTAACTATGGCATAAATTTGCATAGATTTTTTATACAATATACATATTCAACTGCAAAAATTTTCACAAATTCCCTGCCTTGGGATTTGGCTAAGAAGTCATACTCCACTGCTGCAAAAGATAAGCACATTATAAACAAATTTAATTGTGGATGTTGTTATATAAAATGTTTTCATTGTTCATAAATTTTTCAATTATAGTAGCTGTTCATTTGTATACATATATTTCCATCTCAAATGCAACATTTTTATTGTCTTGTCCTGCTCATCTATTACTAAATATTTTGGTTATACAGGGCCATTATCAAGCATATGTCTGCCTAGCCAGAGTTGTTCAGTGGAACAATTCTGGTAAGACAGACATGCACCTGATGCTTGTCATGGATGCCCAAAACATATAGTGATAGTGAAGTAGGACAAAACAATAAAAAAGTTGCACTTGAGATGGAAATATATGTATACATATATACATTAATGCAATAGGATGCTTAAATACAATATTATGGATGTAGTTATTCATGTTAGGATGTTTAATGTATGGAAAAGGAAACTGGAAAGTAATTCCTGTCATCACAAATTAGTTTGCAAAATTTTTGAAATGCATTTACTGAACCAAATGAAACATGAATCCTTCATCACAACACTAATCCTCAAAAATGTTGAGCTGTACATTGTTAAGAAAAGTTAAAATAGTGTAAATAAAGTACGACATGGGGCTTGTTAATGTGGTGTAGGAATGGTGTATATGTATAAGTAAGCGACAGGGGTAATGTGGTATTTATCTATCTTTTAATACAATAGGATGCAGAAAAATAAAATGATATAAAATCTGTTTTACGTAAGTGTTTGCAGAACCCATATATAAGATGGGGAGTGTCTGTATCTTTCATTGGTATTGAAATATGCTGTACATTTATGATATATTTACGGGAAAAGTGTATATAAACGTCCTAAAAATTCTCTTTGGTTCAAATAGTGGGATACATCTTTTCCAGTTCACTATTTAATAGATTATTCTTATGCATGAAGTGTATTCTATTTTATTGTTGTTAAATTAAACAACAGCAATACAAGAGTTCTGGGGTGTGCTTTAACTGCTGAATATAGTATTCCTTGTAGAACAGAATGTACTGATCTTTCTGTTGTGGGATGTCGATGTTCTAATAGACAACCACGTAAAACTATAACAGTTGTTGGAACGGAAAAATAAAGTTACACGTGTATAACAGTTGTATATATTATTCTCAAATGTACAGAATGGCTGGGAAGCCGTCTCAAAATATATATATGTTGTTTACAAGTTTTCAGGCCCTGAAAAGGGCTCTTTGTTCTGCCATGCATGTGCTAGTAGTAGTGTGAGCCTTCCTTTATGGTCGCTGAGCAGTTACGAGCGGGCTGGATAGCAGCAAGCCTAGTCGGATAGCCCAGGCCTTCTTTATGGCCACTGGACAGTTATGAGTCAGCATGAGAGTGGAGTCTAGCTAGCCTGGTGCTGTAGTACATGCACTGGTGTAGTATACTGTCTCAGTGTTGTTTGCTGAAGAGCTGCTGCTTCGTGACATCAGCGTAGCTACGTTAGCTGTCTTCGGCAGAGTGAAGACGATGGAAGAACTGATGATAGCAAGTTTTGAGCTCTGCCTTTTATACCATGCTTGCTGGGCAGGACTAAAGATGCAGTTGTGATTGTGAGCACTGATTGGCCAGCGCACACGATGATCTACAAGTGGGCTGGACAGCAAGTGCTGTATACATGTGACAGTGTGACATTGACTTGGCTCGAGCAGAAGTTGAATGTTGCCTGTTAGACCGGTGAAGCTGTGTGTTAGAATGTGGGAAGATTCCATACCATTTTTATTTGAAATGTCAATATCAGTAAATGCATATGTATCTTACTAATGACCATGTAATATTTTTTTTAAACACACCTGCAGACTGCGGACGTTCTTACAATCATTCAACTGTCAGACATCCACTATGAACCAGATTATTTACCAGATGGGAATGCAGTATGTAAAGCACCAATGTGTTGTAGAAGTGATCAAGGACCAGTAGAAGATCTTGGTGCAAGAGCTGGTTACTGGGGTGACTATAGGAGTTGTGATACACCATGGAATACTTTTAGTGATACAGTGCAACAAATTAAGAGAACCCATCAGGTAAGGAATCATTCCTTCTAATATAAGATCACCTAGAACTGGGTAGTTATGAAACGAAGACTTGCAAACGTGAAGGCCAACATATACAATGACAGTTTGATTTGTTTTATTCTTGTCCATCACACTAACAATATCATACATATACATATATGTATACATACAATACAATACATACATATCAATTACTAGAATTAAATGCACTGCTCTCGCAATGGCCCAAAAAGCCAGATATTTTATGCTTTTCGGAGCACTGGCTTTTAAGTGATCAAATCTTGCATCTAAATATTGATCAATATAAACTTGCGGATAGTTTTTGTAGAATAAATGATAAGCATGGTGGTTCTTGTATATTTGTTTCCAAATCAATTAAGATCAGAGAGGTTTCTCCATTAAAAAACTTTGGTAGAGAAAAAACACTGGAAATATCAGCTATTGAAATAGTGAAATTTAAAATCATTGTAATCTGTGTATACAGATCTCCAAATAGTGACGTAAAAATGTTCTTCAATCAAATAGATGAGGCTATAAATAGGGTACTAAACAAAGGTTGCTTGTTAGTAATATGTGGGGACTGGAATATAAACTTACTCCAAAAGAATTCACTTCAAAAGACTCTATTAAATCTGTTGCTCTCAAATAACTTATTAAATACGGTTCAATCTCCTACGAGAGTTTCATCTAACTCGTGTTCTCTAATTGATGTAATGATTAGAAATAAAGTATTTTATCCTACTTCAACAAATGTTGTCGAAATGGGCTACTCGGATCATTTTGCGCTAATTATGAACATAGGTGTAGAAAATTCTCATGTTCCTTTCTCTGAAAAAACCAAAAGAAGAGTTTTCTCTAAAAGAAATATCGACTTATTTAACTTGAGGTTAACAAGGGAAGTCTGGGATGAGGTGTATCACCAAACTGATGTAAACAAAGCTTATAGTCCTTTTTTAGACAAGTATCGGGACCTTTTCCTGAACATGTTTCATATAAAAAAAGTTGGAAATGTAAAAAACATCAAATCCAGATGGATTACTAAAGGGATAAAAGTTTCTAGACAGCGGCTTCAATTTCTATGTTACTTAAAGAAAAAGTTGATTCTTCCTAGGCATTCTTTGAACTATATAAAAAAGTATCAAAAAATTTATAAGAACGTGTTAGCAGATGCTCGTAAAAAGAAAATGACAGATTCATCCAATTTGATGTGATGTTTAATCTCATATATTTTTTTATAAAACTGACTTGTCCAATTGTACGTAATGTAACAGTTATGGATGTTAAATAAATCAATCAATCAATCAATCAATCAATCAATACATATATATACATGTGCATACATATTGTATATAATATGTAATTCTGTAAGTGGGACAGAAATTTACAGAATATGATCTTGAAACATACAAACTTGCTTCTTAAAAATATTCCTGTGGAATTATGAAAAGTGTGAAAATGCTGTGTAATGAAAGGCACACATTACAGACTAATTTTGGATGGTTGAAGTGCAGAGGGGATGAATTCCGATCTGCCCTTCTGACTTCTGAATATTATAGGCTTTCCCACGATTATGTTACACATACAAGATAATGTCAGTGAATTGTAATTTCATTCATTTCAAACTTTGCCAATTTTGTCATAACTTTTCTACCATATGAAAATGTGTACTAACCCCATGAAGCATGGTCCTTCTTGAGAAGCTAATAGTCACTCAGGAAATGAATAAATTACCAGCCTTCTATTGCTGAAATATTCACAGCCACATTCACAAAAGCCCAAATGAAAAATGTTTATATAATATAAAATTTCAAGGAAAGTACTTTTGTATACATCTATTGCAATGAGCATTTAGGTTTTCACCTATGGTGTATGATTTGAAGGGCCTTACAGATACAGAGACACACAGGAGAACACACAGAAGGAAATTAGCCCCCATGAGCATTCACATAAATCTTACAAATGCAGAACATCTAAATATCCAAATATACAAGCACAGGTAAAACAGAAAAGACTACCTGAGCTCAAGTAATACATCTGTGACTTTTGATATCATTCACCAATTAAATAAAGTTAATTACACGTATACTCATAATTATAAGCCAAAAGAAACATTGCACAGGGCTATATTTATCATAAACGATAAATTTAGATAATCTAGCTCCAAGCAATGTAAACATGTTATTACTTTACATGTTTCACTTTTACAGAAAATTGATTATATATACATGACTGGAGATATCGTGGATCATGCAATATGGGATACAGGTATTGAAAAGAATTCAGATGTAATAGAAAAAGTTCTGAAAAAACTGAAAGCAGATTTTCCAGATACACCTATATATCCAATTCTGGGAAACCATGAGCCAAGTCCATTGAACTTGTGAGTGTTTCTTTTATTAATGGGTAAATGTTTTCACTACTTGAAGTTATCTTTATAGAGGTTGTTCACCTAGGAGTCTACTGTGTAGTTTCTCCATTAAAATTATTTGTTTTCATTATACTCGTAGATATTATCTTCTTTCCTTGTTACCTCTTCAAAGAATATTCTCAAAATTTATCACAGCAAAAATGACAAATCTGTTTGTTTTATATCATTAAATAAAATGACATTTCTAAAATTGTTAACTTAAAGGATGGCTTCTGGAAAAGTTCCTGGTAAGTTCAGTGTAGTATACGAGTACAGCTTCAAAATCTACATCCCTAAGAATCTTATTGATGTTAAATTCCTATTTATGTCTTGGTATCCCAAATGGCTACTTTAGACTGGGTTTTCTTATGAAAAATGCATATTTCCTTTCTTTTCCCACACCTCAACTTCATATTCCACCATTGCAATGAGATAAATTTAGTACTGATATTCCAAGGTGCGGGTTACTGAGATGCATATAGTCAATCAGAAAACTCATTTTGTCTTTTTAAAATACAATTGTGGACAACATGTCTGCAGAAACCCAGACTGTTACTACGTCGTCCAACAATGTTAACTGACTATATTATTTCATTACAGGTTTGCACCACATGACATTATTGATGAGAATATTTCCACAAAATGGTTATATGAACTGTCAGAAAAACTGTGGTCTATATGGCTCCCTCCAGAAACTAGTAAAACTATCTTACAAGGAGGGTTCTATACTGTGCTGCCTAAACCTGGATTCCGAATTATAGCTCTCAACAGTAATGTCTGCTTCGTCTATAACTGGTAAAAATGTAAAACAGAAAAAATATTACTTTAGTTAATGACATGCATGGTACAAACAGAAATGTATTTCTAGTCACAAAAGTACTGGAGAATTTCATCCATGAAAACTCACTCTCTTCAATACAAAACTATTTCCTTAAAGTAAAAGTACTTATATAAACATCCACAGAGAGTCACAAATCTCATACTATGTCACTGCTGTCACTGCGTGGTTTCAGTATTCAAATTACTGATTTTAACCCTACTTATCTCAAAAAGTATCACAGTAACAGGATTTGCCATTGGCTTTTGATGTGTTATAATTATAACCTTGTGCTTCATTTTACGAAAAAATATTAAAGTTTCTACTGTCTAACAGAGGAACTGCTACATTCACCTATCTATCTAATTTTCTGATGCAAAGTCCTTCTTTAAAAGTTGACAGTGTCACAACATGCCAAAAACTTCACTGCTTTTACAGATTCCCAAGATAAAGTATTACATTCATAACTGCCTTGGTGGAAATTACATGTAACTTAGAGCAATCTAAGCTTATACTATTGGGATACATGATCACTCATCATCATCATCAGTCATGGAGCTGAGCCCTTCTTGAGGAGCCACCAATTGTGCAGCTACTAAAGAACTTCCTAGAATTTTATGGGACCCGAAGGTTCATTACCATGTTCACAAGAACCCACATAAATCCAATTCCTACCATCCCAACCTATCTCTCTAAAATCCATTTTGAGTATTGGCCACCCACCTACATGTCGGTCGTTGTAGCAGTCTCTTTCCTTCTGGCTTTCCCACCAATATCCGATATGCATCCCTCTTCGCTACATGCCCTGCCCACCTCATCCTCCTTGACTTGTTCATTCTAATTATACTTGGAGAAGAGTACAAGTTATGAAGCTACTCTTTATGCATGGGATACATGATTTCTTCCATTAATTATTTATGGACATTCTACTGCATTTAGACACTTCTGCACAGTATTCCAATATTCAGTGTTGACTACCAACAGACTTAAATATGATCCTTTCTTCAGAAGTGTGAATCATTGGCTTTATAATTTTCCTTCCTTCAGTAGTGTGATGCATTGGTTTTACAATTTTGCAATCCACATTTTAAGGACATGGAAAACTGAGTCATTCTGATGGTAACTTTAGAAAGATGTGGAAGTGATAACAGATATGTGAGAACTGAGGAAAATGAACATAAAATCAGGGTATTTCTGATTTTCAGTCATACTTGTCACTACAAAACCAATTTTCTCAGTTTCAATATTCAGTCACTTAACTTGCAAGCACCACACTGCTGCTGTCAGAACTATGAATATATACATGTATATTAACCATGGAGAGAGTAAATACTTAATTTTAGCCTACATTCCTTCTTCACAGTAAAAAGAAGGCTCATGAAAGTATCCTGCTGTCTGTTTGTCTGTTCCCCATTTCATATTGAACAGATTCTTACATGAACTGGTGTGAATATTACAACATGGAGAATCGCACATCTATGTATTAAGTCAATCAGTGATGCAACTATTATTACAACATTCACCATTCAACACCAACACAACATGTTTCAGTCACAGACAGCCATCCTCAGGTGTTTTAATGCTTCAAAACTTCCAAACTGTTACACTGCTTTGATGCATGCTAAAATTTGCGTTGCAGTCCTCTTAAAATAACTTAATTAATTACTTAAAATTCATTACACTTTTTCTATTAAAATTTTTCATAGAATCCTAATTCCACCTCGTAAAGGGCGTCGTCCACTTGTTCAAAGCCATGTGATATTCCAAACAGTTTTTCACAGTTTGTTTTTCTGTTTCATTAGCCCATCTGCAATCTGCAATGTGCCCTTTGATTGTGTGTATTCCCTTTAGCAGCGTGTGGTGTTGTCTTCACTAGTCACTAGTGACAAATGAAATTGTGAAGTGGGAGCAATACTAACACTGCTTACATTAGAGTCTCCAAATGATGTACATAATAGAGCTTAGAAAATATGCAATTTTATTTAATGTTATTTTTTACAGAAAATAAAATAACAACATGGCAGCCATGCAAGAATTTCCTTTGGCTTCAGTTTGATTCAGGAACTAATGAATCACTGGAGCAAATAAGCTATACTTGGTATAGAGACAGATCATAACATACATGTATCATGTATAAAACACTCTTTGTTAATCAACAATTACAGACACGAAAACTTTGACATTATATCTGTCAAATTTAACAACATACACAGAATTTATATTTATTCAAGAAAATAAATAACAACAAGAATGGTAATATAACTCTAGGATTTAAAATTTGTGTAATAGGAAAGTAGGCTTCATGTATTCTGTTTGGAATTGTTATTAAAATGCAGATAACTATGTATGGATTACACAAATCATTATTGCACAGGTGGTTGATCTACGACACAAAGGACCAAGATGGACAGCTTCAGTGGCTAGCTGACACATTGCTCCAGGCTGAAAGTGCTGGAGAAAAAGTTCACATTCTTGGGCATGTCCCTTCAGGGAATTCACAGTGTTTCAGAACTTGGAGCAGAGAATTCCACAAGATCATTGAAAGGTTAATACAGTATTATATTACCAGTTCAATAAGAAATGAGACAACAAAATCCATTCAGATACTTCAGATATCATGTCACCAGATCGTTTAAACACATTTAACCAGCCTATTTTGTTTCATTGGTACCCCAAACTCTTTGAGAATATAGTGGCATGCTGTGAGAAAGTTGGAATGGATTAGGAGATCAGGGTTGATTACCTAGGCAACGACCAATGTTTCCCCGACAGCGGCTAGGAATCGGAACACATCCATTGCTATACAATGGCTAGCAATCTAACAGTGGAGTTTCCACCATTACACACAAATTGTTCCAAGCAGATTTTGCATAGCAGCGGGCGAGGTTAACCCTTTGACATGGTATTCCCTATTGAGTCCGAGTGAAAGTTATAAGAGTCCAACTGTCACAAGAGATTGTAAAGCCTGTACTGACAGATGACTTGTGTGTAAAGCAAAAGGAAGAGTTTTTGATAACATATTATATGTGCGAAATATACATTTGATGAAAGGTCGAGTGTATTCATAAGAGACAGATCCATCTCCTCGTCAGAGAGGATGATACATAAGGACTATTACCACAAGAGTTAAGTTGGAAAAAAAAAATTCTGGTCGTGGTCCTCAAGGGGCCTGACACCAAGATGAACTGATTGGCGGTAAACCACCATTCATAAAGTAACTCTGACTCTGACTCTGACTCTGATATTGGATCAGTTTGTATTTGACCTTAGAAGAGTAGAGTTGGTATTCGACAAGAGAACAGAAGAGTTCTCATCCGACTAGAGCAGAAGACACTTTACTGAGAATAACAGTGTGAGAGTGTCATAACATTGAAGGGGAAAGGTCCAAAGATGTTATAAGTTGTGAATAACTGTAAGTGTGGATGTAAAAGGTGAATGTCCAATAAAATATTCATTCAAATCCGAGAACCTGCACAATTTCTTGTCTCGTTGCCTAGCAAACACGCTACAATATTGTACAATATTTCTTTCTTAGCTGAATCATGGGCTTTCTTGAAGTCTAAAAATAGCTGGTACACTGTCTCATTGTACTCCCATTTGTTTCCAGTATCTGATGAATGCAAGGATCTAATTAGTGGTTGATCTGTTACATCGAAACCCACACTAATGATCCACAGTAATTTAATTTATATATGGACTTAATCATGAGAGAAGAATATTGTATAAAATTCATCACTCCTAAGAGATCACATTTCCAAGAATAAAACTCATATTATTTATCTTCTTCCAAGCAGCACATTTTTAGTCATTGATGAAGTTGAAATGTTTACCTTTCCTCTCCTTATAATTTTGTTTACATTCCTTTGTTTTCATAAAGCGTAGATCATGAGGTACTAAAATAAATGCCATCTATTCAGGGAAGTGTTTTATGATTCAAGTCCAAATTATCATGCATGATACAAAAGTGGAACTATTTATAATTGTGTATGATAATTTTCAGGTTTGAGAACACAGTAACAGCTATATTCAACGGTCACACTCATAATGATCAATTTCATGTCTATTATGCTATGGAAGAACCAACTCGTCCTATCAGTGTGGCAGTTAATGGTGGAAGTGTAACCCAATACAGTGATCTCAACTCTAATTATAAGCTCTACAGCGTGGATTCTGCTACTTATGTGAGTACAACCGATGCAAAATCAATGTAATTGTTCACAATGTTCACACTCTGATCTTCTGTATTATGACCACCACGTAGGCTGGTGGATGTATGCCAGTGTTTCAGAAATACATCTTGCCCCAATTTTAGCATACATAGAGGTAGTATGTTCGTCTAAAATGTTTGCCCTAACCTGTTTGAGTACATTGTGTCATAATCCATAAAATAATATGAAACTTCACTGCATAAAATTCTAATTTTGTAAATACAGCTGTGGCTCAAAGGAAAACCCAGTAAGCTCCAACTGATACTTGAAACTTTGTGATTCCATAAGGACAAGTATCATAAAAGGATATCGGATTCTGAAAAAAATATCCTTTTATGTGCAAAGTAATCACTGCATTCACTCAAATCTTAGTTTTTAGATTCTGTTCTCTAAACATGTATAGCTAAACATTAAAACTGATAATATTATTTCAAGTTAGTGTAATATCTTCTGTTCTTGGAACATTGCTTGGAAACTAAAACATTATAGAGTATATACAAGTAAGTATAATCCCATTAGTAGACATTTCAGTCACTTCCAATAGGAGATGGCCAATAACAAGTTCAGCCTTTTTTAATTTGAGTATGATTATGTAACAGGTGAAACTAAATATTATAAAGCATGTCACTAGCTGATCACACTCCCATATCCATGCCATCTCACACTACAGTATCAAGTTTTCTATTCTTGTATTCAACGTTGTTCAGGAAAATGGACATGAGATTTGGTACATGGAAGTTAAGAAGTCTGTATAGTGCAGGTTCACTTATGACAGTTGCATAAGACATATCATGATATATAAGTTAGATTTAATGGGAGTACAGGAGGTCAGATGGGACAGATGTGGCATCAAACCAGAAGGTGAATATACATTTTTCTATGGAAAAGGGAATGAGAATCATGAATTAGGTACAGAATTTTTGTAAATAACAGAACCATAGTTCTTCTTATTCTTCTTCTCCTCCTCCTCCTCCTCTTCCTTCTTCTTCTTCTTCTTCTTCTTCTTCTTCTTCTTCTTCTTCTTCTTCTTCGTCTTGTTGTTGTTGTTATTATATGCGATTTTATGATGTAATAAGTTTGCTTATCTGCAACCTGCAACCTATTGTTGTAAATAATGGACTCATACAATTTTGTATATGTATTTTGAAGATTATTTTGTAATGTATTTTAAGGACCATTTCCACATCCTGTTTATATACTGTACGGATAAGATTATCCTTCTGGAATTAGATACCACGTTGTCTGACACACACAACATCGTTCGAAAGGAATATGCTGCCTCCATCACTGATGTATCGTGGAAGCAGCAGGTTTCCCTGAAAACTAAGGGAACTATTTATCAGATTACACAGCATCACATCTAAGATGACCATAATCAATATTCACAGCTAAGAGAATGCCAGCTCTTGAACAGGCAACTGATTGGAAGGATGACCTATTTATAGGTATTGCCCCCAAACTTACCTGGTGGAACAAAAGAAAATCCATGAAACCCTCTTTAGCGAACGCTAACTTCTCTGCTCTGACCTGAAGTGTTGCCTCCCATATAAATATCAGAAATGTTATTGTTGGGCAAATGGAGTGCAAGATTACGTAGTTCATTATGTATGGAAATATAAATACTGTATATTGGTGTACATATACATTAATGATATCCCATGGTACTATTTACAGATTTTGCACTAGTAACAGCTCTTACACAAGCCCTGATTTTTAACTCATCATTCACAAATTCATAATAATTACGAAACTTTGATATAGTTATTATAAACATTATTTTCCTAATTCTAGCATCACTTCCAATTTAGAAGGACACTAAATAAGAAGTGTATCTTCCCACAATCTTTTCTTTATTTATTTATTTCCAGGTCTTCCACCTATTCTTGATATCTTCTGTTACCTATATATTTCTCTCAACACATCAAAAATGAAAACCTTTAAGTTACAGTCTGGTATAGAAATATCAACATTTTAAAGAAACCCGCTGCTCTATCATCAAGGTACGCTGGAGGTGGCAGGTTCCTTTGGAGACGTTGATATCTATCTATCAGAGTACACACTGTCACATCTAAGGTGCAAAAACCTCAACATTCACTGCTGTAAGGACCTCCACTCTCCAAATGAGAATTGCATCCCAGGAAAATACATTAATACCTTTTCAAAGACAGCTAACATCTCTGCTGTGTTACAAAGTTGTACCTCCCACACAGAAGTCAGAATTGTTATTCCTCTGCCAATGGAGTGCAGGTTTAGAACTCTGTAACCGTCCAAAATCGGACACATATTTTTATGAACTTTTTTGATCACAAAGACCTAGGAAATCACTTCCTGCAGTTATGCCCTAAAGTCGTGAAACACCCTGTAGATTATTAATGATCGATGAATTGGAAAGAGTTTGGAAGGAAGTGGCCATGTCCTATTTCAAGGTATAGCCCTGATATTCACCTTGGGGGACAGGAAAATCATAAGAAATCTGTTAATATAGATGGTTCCCTCACTATAATTTGAACTGAACATACATACATACATTTCATTTCATAAATCCAAAATAAATGGACATGAAGGTCATCATATAAAAAAAACAACAAAAAAATTAAACAAACACACAGATAACAGAATAATTATAACTAATTGTTTATGTTATGCTCCACATATTCAGAAACTGTATAAAAGGAATTATTCATAAGATATAAAGACAGCTTATTTTTAAAACTAACTCTATCCTCCTTAAGGCTTTGAATGGTTATGGGCTATCTGTTGAACAGTTTAATAGCAGTAAACATAGTACCTTTCTGAAAAGCAGAAAGATTCGAGTTTGGCAAATATAAGTGCTTTCGATTTCTTGTATTCAAACCATGAACATCTAAACCTGAACAAAATTGAGTTTGATTATCAATCACAAACATCATTAAAGAGAGCATATATTCACATGACAGTGGCAGTATATTCAATTTCTTAAAAAGATCCCTACGTGAGTCTCTAGGTCCCACTGCAGATATAATCCTTATTACTTTTTTCTGTGGTTTAAAAACTCTAACATTATTCATTGAGTTGCCCCAGAAAATTATTCCATACTTAAGAACAGAATGGAAATAAGAAAAATACACCATTTGTAAATTTTTTTACTCATAAAATAAGGTAAACTCCTAATTACAAAAATAGCTGAACTAAGTTTAGGGAGAATATACTCTACATGACTCTTCCAATCCAAATTCTAATCATGTAAGATTTGAGGCTTTCACGGCGGTGACTATGAAGAAAGCAGTCTTCTGGGATTTGGCACCGTGTATATGTGGTGTTAACCGACGTTTCGGAGGAACGTATCGCCCCCATCTTCAGGGTTGAAGAAAAAGTATAAGTAAATCTGCAAGCGACAACACCGTGAGACACGGTCAAACAGACTAAATAAAGAACATACCGTTGAGCAGAGAATGAAGGGGTTGTACTGCAAGTAAACAAGTGAAAGCAGTGGTGTGGGAGGGGTGGGGGAAGGGAGCCGGGACAGCATGATTTTGTGTAGGGGAGAGTGAGCAAGGTTAGGTGGCTGGGCTTTANAAACCCCTTATCTGTTCTCTTAAAAACCACCCACCGGGATATGACGCCAGATCCAGGAAGCCACAAGGCCATGACCAACCAACATAACAACCCCCCCACCCTCAGCTCACAGTTAAAGCCCAGCCACCTAACCTTGCTCACTCTCCCCTACACAAAATCATGCTGTCCCGGCTCCCTTCCCCCACCCCTCCCACACCACTGCTTTCACTTGTTTACTTGCAGTACAACCCCTTCATTCTCTGCTCAACGGTATGTTCTTTATTTAGCCTGTTTGACCGTGTCTCACGGTGTTGTCGCTTGCAGATTTACTTATACTTTTTCTTCAACCCTGAAGATGGGGGCGATACGTTCCTCCGAAACGTCGGTTAACACCACATATACACGGTGCCAAATCCCAGAAGACTGCTTTCTTCAAATTCTAATCAATTTGCAGACCAAAAAATTTTATCACAGGAACTTCATTCATAAACAAATTCCTACTAGCAACTGCCAGAGAGTTATAAGACTGTTTTAGAGCAAATCTAATAATATTAGTTTTAGTGCTATTTAAGGCCAACTTATTAGCTGTGAACCAATTTACAATAAGAGACAGTGTACCCATGACACCTTCTAAATACAAGACTAAATTGTTACCACCCAAGTTAACTTGCTGAGTCACATTAGTAGAAACTAGTACTGACTAGTGATACTAGAAGTTGATGTAAATGTAAACAAAGAGTTCAAATTTGCCAGAATCTTTAGATTTACTTAATGCATGCATTAACACCTACAAAATTCTCTATCATCAATGAGCACATGTTTCCACTCTAGTCTTAATTGTTGTTTTGTATTATTTGTAGCATATTCTAGATGCTGAAAGTTGGAGCTTCAATCTGACTGAAGCTAACACAAATTCAAGTCTGAATCCAACCTGGTTTAAATTATATTCATTCAAAGAAGAGTATGGAGTGGAGTCTCTGAACGCTACAGAACTGGACACACTTACTCATAAATTGGCAGGAAATAAAAGTCTTCTGCAGATATACTCAAGGTAATTTATCATAATAATTTAGTTCAGTTCAATTCTTTATTAAATAATCTATTTTTCATCATCGTCTTCATCATTTTCATCTTTACTGTTTAGCTCCAGGTTGGTAATAAATAGTTTACTGCTACTCTTTCTCTCTTCTTCTGTGGGAGCTACAGTCCATGTTGAGCCTTTGTTTCTTCTGTGAGTGCTCACCATTGGTCCTGATCCTGTGACTTTCATTTCTTTCTGTCCCGCTGCAATTGTTAAAATCTTCTAAACAATTAAGGATTTTACGGGGTGGAGCTGTCAAACCCCAAGCCCAACCTCCAACCTGGATGGCCAGGGTATCCATTTTTGTATGTATCGTCACCTTTGGCCTGTCCAGCATGGGAGACCCTACCAGTAGCTACACTACTGCTGACATAACTCTCAGGATCATATGACCACTCAAGCCCCACCACTACACCACTACAATACACTACACTACACTACACTGCACATTACTACACTACATCTGCAGAAGGAAGTTTAATACTCTTTGTTGCTTTAAATGTACTCAGCAGCTTCTCTTAGATGTGAAATCATAGCAAGTGATATCATGATTAATCATCATTTAAAGATTAAGAAATGAAAGCAGTAAAAGAGAACTAAATGAAGTGAGTCATCAGCCTGTAGGTTAAGAAGCAAGAAATTCTTTTCTGAACCACACAAATGGATCTTGTTTATTGTTGTGTCTATATTCGTTCATTTAGTGCTAATATATCGTTGAGATATGTTAAAATATGGACAAAAAAAGAAGTAAAAAGGTGAAGATGTCCCTGTGCATAATTAATCAAGCACTATGTTATGGAGATATAGTTGGGACTGGAGGTGTAATTCCACCATCCTTGACATAGGCACTAGATGAAGGTGAGTGGTCAGCTTCATGCCCTAGTCACTTTACCCCCAGGGGAAGATCCTCTGTTACCCATTAGATAGCAGGTTGAGCAGGCCCCAGAGTCAGTCCGGATGCTGTGAAGTAGAGGAAAGTATATTGCTCCTTCCAGGAATCAAACTCCAGCCATCAAACCCATGGTCCATCACTGTATCAAGTGAGCTATCCTGGCTCATGATATAGATATAGTAATATGAATCCATATTATGTGAATATTGTTCTGCATAATTACTGACCTTTTTTTTCCAGATTCATGTTTCCCTAACTTGTATTTCCTATGTAGTCAAGTGTATTAACCCACTGAGCTTTCTGAAAGTTAATCACAATTATAGCCTGCATAATACATACTATTAATTCTGTTTTGGATATCAAAAGTTTCATCCCATACAATTAACTGATTCTAAAGAGGTAATGTGAAGCTATCTGAAATTCATCCTCAGGATCACTGTAGATAAATTTTCATAATACTTGATATGAACATCATGCCATCAGAGATTGTCTGAGTTTGTCGTACCTTTTAATCCCCTTCCTCAATTACACCAGAACAATTAGAATGTATACAACACTAGCACCATTTCATGCAAGACCCTGAAGTTTGGTGCCATGAGAAAACTACGAGTAACTGACTCCAAGGATCCAAGTCCTTCTTGAGATGGCATCACTTGCTCAGCTACTCAACAATTTCCAACACTTCATGTAAACCAAAGGTCAATTATTGCTCTCAAGAGAGCCTGCTACTGGTTCCTCTTCTGAGCCAGATGAATCCATTCCATACCATGCCCCACTCACTTTCTCTACAATCCATTTTGATATTCCCATCTATGTCTAGGTTTTTCTAGTGGTCTCTTCTTCTGTCTTTCCAACCAAAACTCTGTATACATTCAGCTTCGCTTCCATGCGTGTTATATGCCCTACCCATCCCATCTGCCTTGACTTGATCATTGTAACATTTGACAAACAGTACAGGTAATAAAGCTCCAAATTATGCAATTTTCCTCAACCTCCCTTTATGTCATCCCGCTTTGGTCCAAATATTCTCCTCAGCACCCTGTTCTCAGACATTCTCAGTCTATGGTCTCACGTTAATATAAAAGTCCAAATTCCACATCCTTACAAAACTGGAGGAAAAGTCATAGTTCTGTATATTAAAATTGTTATGTTTTTAGACAGCAGACAATAAGACCAAAATGTTCTCAACTGAATTATAGCAATTAGGTCTACTCTTCCTCATGGTCCCCATTATATAGCCTCAGCACGAACCTCACAGGAAACACCGCTTCCAACAGTTCTTGTATTTTTGAGTGACCTCCTACAGTTTCATCCCTGAAGGTTTATTATAGCATTGACGAAAGCATGCCATTTGCCTTTATCTTGAGCCAATTGAATTAAGTCCTTGTCTGTCTTCCCTGTTTCTAAAATCTATTTTGAAGTTATCTTCATATTCATGCCTAAGTCCCCCATGTGACCTCTTCCATAAAAATTTCCAGATCAATATTTAATTTTTATATTTCATTTTCACCAAATCCAAAATATAATAGTGACATAATATTGCGGTGTGTAGAGCCGTTTCTAGGCAGTGGCTCGGTAAAGAAGTTCCTGTGGCAACAAATACACATGCAAAACTATAGGTACTTTTGGAAATACTATTTTCTACTGAATTTCAAAGGAGTTGTAGGGAGTACAAATGAAGCAAAAATAATTCAGTTGGAAAGGAACCACCATTCTGAGATAATCTGACTGTAGGACCAAAAAGACTTAGCGCGTGCTGTAGTGATTCGTAAAATGTGGAAACCAATGGTAGTGTTATAGTTATTTGTAGTTATGACCTGTAAATGGTCAATAAGTCTAATTATCCAAAATCCTGTTTGTAGTCACTCATACATTTGACAGTATTTGCATATTTATACCACTCTCATTTTTTTGATTTGCTTATATATTCAAATGTATTCAGCACTAGTGTTACAAGTTCAATGCTAACAAAAATACTACAAGTCAGTTAAAACAATTTCAGGAAGGTAGGTGAAGATACAGAAATATAATACACAAAAACAAGAAAGGAATACCATATAGTAACAGCAATAATGATCACAGGTTGCACACTGGAAGATGAGGAGAATGCTGGTATTTAGGTAAATAAATTCATGATTGATGCTTGTATTCTTATATTCCAGGCATTATAACAAAGATGAAGGAAGTGAATGTGGAAACGACTGTCTAAAATCGAGACTCTGTTCTACAGCAGTGACACAGACAGGAGATTATACTCAGTGTGATATACTGCTGCAAGAATTTTATAATCAGACCAATAGTGAACAAGTTCATTACCAAATCAGTAATCAGTTGCTGGCATAGTCTAGTTTCCTGCTAACACATCCCATACATTCAAAAACTAACACATCTGTAATAATCTGTAATAACCACTTTCTACACTGCTGTACCCTAACTTGAAATTTCAGTTGATGAATTCTAGGTAACTCATCCTCTTTGTACAGTTAGAACGATAAAAAAGATTTCCTGCAGAAACAAATGAACCAATGAGCCAATGGCTTGATAAAACTGATCTTCATATTGCATATAATGCTAACTCCTCAGGCAAAATTTAAAGGGTATAACCAGATGGCCTTGGTAGCTATATTTAAATTGTCAAACAGGTAATAATACCTGGAAAGATTAATGAGTAAGGGTCGCTGGGGCAGCTCCATTGTCTTGTGTTTCATCATGAGCCATGGTTGTTGTGGTTTTGTAGTTGCTATTGTACAGAATCGATTTGTGCCAAGCTGAAACACCTTTTAATCAGCTAAGGTTCAATGGAAGTCACAAGCTATTCTATCATTTTGAGTGATTATATGTAAGGTCTATATGTAACATTTTATTCAAGAGTTCCATCCAGACAAATAATAGTTAACACTGTAGTCTAAGCCCAAAATAAAATCACAAAGAACATTTTGAACAGAAGATATCTCAGAACTACTTCATGCATGACAGTTAAGTAGACACTAGAATCAAGGCATGGAAAACTTCATCCAATTTCTCATCTCAGATATTGGAAGGAGCTGAATGCAGTATGAATAAGAGGCTGAAACCAATGTGGTTTATTTTAATCTAGGTTACAGTAACATGAAATTACCCAAGTAGGATAATTTTTATATGGCTCAGAATATTTACAGCAATAAGACATCACATTGGTTTACATATATTAAATTCAGTAGCAATTTCCTTCATACAACCACATATTTAAATATCTTATCATTGCAATATCAATCACTCTCTGAACTTCACTGCCTAACAATGGAAAAGCATGATATTGAAATCAGGCATAGTGCATTTTGTATTCAAGTTCCTTGAATCTATTCCTGTTCAACAAATAAATATAGAGGTCAAGGATATCAACCACTTTAAAGCTTTAAGAACTAGTTATGAAGCATTATTATTTATAAAATTACTTATGCGAGCAATTCCTGAAGAACACTTGACCATCGGATTATTTGAGACCAGACATTTTAACAGCAACTTTAATTTCCCCTAGCACAGTGACTTAAGGAGACACATGTGTTGTTACAAGTGATAGATTCAGTTCTGATTAATGTTACTGCCTTTAGTTCATTTTATATTTATAGCCACACAGTTCTCTTGGTAAAGGCTTTTTAACTAACTAATGGAGCTGAGTAATTCTTGAGAAGCTGCTAGTCACTCAGCTACTGAAGAGTTTCCCAAAAATTGTTTTCATCACCATATGCAGGATGGAAACTAAAGCCTTAAGATGTAGCACTCACAAGTAACTAACAAAGCTAACAAGTAGCTAACAAAGGTATAATATATTAAATGCACGTCAGTGTTGTTAAGATTGTGATTATTAGTTGTTCTGGAACATGATTGACTGCTGATGGCTTAAAACTGTACATGCAGCTAATGATGGTATAAATGGGAGAGTACTGCTGAAAATGTGTGAGAAATAGAATTAAATAATCATATAAGAAATGCCATGTCTTAACAATATCTATTTATCTCTTTGGTATCTGTATCTTGACTCTGTAATCCAATATATATCTTAGTATTACAACTTTTTCATACCTGATCCTAACCTATAAACAGTGTTTGGAGATATGAATTTCCAGATTAGTGGAAGCAAAATGATTATATACAGAAATTCTTAAATTCAAATATTTAGGAAACATAATTTCAGAATTTAACAAGGACATATAATATAAATTACAAATATTTAATACAGTGAATGGCAAAACAAAAAAAATTTTAACACAGAAGTGGCAACTCAGATTAAATTATGAATACTTTGACATGGAAGTGGGATGTGGGTTTTGAAAAGAGACAATTAGTATTGGGAGGCAGCACAGACAAAACACCAATGAACCATATCAGGACTGGGCAACCAAAGGAATACAGATATAAGAGAAATGCTGAAATAATATGCAGGGCCCTCTCCTGATACAGAAGAACCCAGTCATGTCCTCAACCCCCATTTGAAGAAACATATATTATCCTTGCATCTATGCCTAACTTTCCAAAGAGGTCTCTCCCTTCAGGGTAAAAGGTAAAAGGTAAAGTTGTCACTGTGCTTAATTAATTAAGCACTATGCAATGAACACATATGGGGGTGGAGGCATAGTTGCACCATTCTTGACCTTGGCACTAGATGTAGGTGAGTGATCGGCTTCACCCCCCGGGGAAAAAGCCACCAGTGCAAACTGGCTAGCAGACTGGGTGGGCCACAGTGCCAGTTTGGATGCTGTGAGGAAGATAGTATTCTTACAATGCAGGGAATCAAACCCGGGCCATACAATACAACAAAGTATGATTTGGAAATCTGATCTTCCTTAAAAAGTTATCAATAAAAAAATTACATACATACTTTGATGTTTATTTTCTAATTTTATAATGTTACAGTGATAATGATTTTATTTGGTGTTTTTGCCCAAAATTCTGCATGAATTTCTTACCTCTCCAACATATGCTAATGCGCTGGCCATGTCATCCTCCTTGATTTGATCATTCTAATAATATATGGCGAGGAGTACAAGTTATGAACCTCATATGCACTTTTCCCGTGCTCATTTTATTTCCTCCTTCATTCACACATTCATGGACCTGAGCCCTTTTTGAGAAGCTGCCAATTATGCAGCTACTCAAGAACTTCCCAGCATTTTATATAACCTGAAAGTTCATTACGGTGTTCACAAGAACCTTGCACTGGTCTCTATCCTGAGTCAGCTCAATCCAGTCTATAACAGTGCATGCTATCTCTCTAAGATCCATTTTAATGTTGTCCATCCATCTGTCTTGGTCTTTCCAGTGGTTTCCTTCCTCTGGCTTTCAAACCAATATCCTAATGCATTCATCCTCTCCACCACACCAGCAACCTCTACTCTCTTGACTGCTGATATGATTCTCTTATGTACAAAAAAAAAAACATATTCCTAATTTATTATTCCCATTTCTCTTTTATATTTGCCCGCTAGTTCGGTGCTACCTCCATCCCATCTGACCTACTGTACTCCCATTAAATCTAACTTATGTTTTGATGTTTCTTCTGCCACTGCCCTGAGCAAACCTGCCCTATACATACTTCTAACACTCCATGTACCAAATCTTATATCCATCCAGGTCCGATGCTTCTTGTGATCTTTTGTAACAAGCATATTTTTTATGGTGAGGAGTTGTTAGGAGCAAATTTCTTATTCATGCAAAACAATGGTGAAATTATAGTTTTGAATAATTTATTCTTTATAGGGAGAGAGTGTATGACACAGAATCCTGAAGTAAATTGTAGTAACATTTCTCAGTGGTATTTATGTTTTTTTTCCCAGGAAATAAATATCATCAGCATAGACCAGAAGCTGATGTGTCTTATTCAGTACCAATCCCTTCCAGTTCCTTGGACAATCCAAATGGCATACTCTAAGAGAAGTTGAGAAATAATGGTGGTTGTGAAATATGTAAGTTTTGTACAAGTAAATTGATTGCAATCTAAATTAACAATATAAAAGGAAAATAAGATCTTGAGTTTCTTATCAGCTTGATAGTGATAACTGAAGAATCACTATATCTGTGCTTGCACACTCTATTGAAAATCGTTAACATGAGGCTATAAAATTTTGGTAACTCTCTGATGCTTTAAATATACACTGGCAGAAATTCTTGGCAAGGAGCCCACAAAATTGTGTAATTATTACTGTACAACTTCTGCGAAGTTGTCTTATTCTGACTGAGAAACTTTCCTTATTCCTTACATTCAGAATATGGACTTCTGGGTTGACAGTCTTATGACAATATGTTAGAAACCAGATGACAACAATTTGAACACTCACTTACATGAAAACCACAGGTCTTATAACATTATTATGTTGATAATTATGCATGTCAATCATAAATCATAATTATGCAGAAGACCACTCTCAAATAAGATGTAAAATGAATTTATGATCAAACCCTACTGATATAGACAATAATAATGTTTTGTTGTTTCTGAGTATATTCTTAAAATGAAGGGCTAATATGTACTTGCTAATCTGGTCTTATGTACATAAGAGGTGTTAGTAACAGCTATGAATAGATCAGAAGATGACAGTAATAAAGTCAGTAGAAGGTACATTTGAATTTATAACACAGAGTCAACTTCTACTGAAAACATTCATAGCATACTTCCAGATAACAGCTCCACATAGTGTATAATATTGTGACATGAGAGCTGAAAGGCTGGACTAATGAAGCCAGAACAAATAATCCACTGCTAGGTGACAGCTAGATAAATGCATGTCCATGGCAACAGATAGGCTAGAAACTGTTGGGAAATCAGCACAACACAATAAAGGAATTGTTGGAAGCAGTGTCCTCTACATAATCCATGCCAAGACTATATAATGAGACCCATCTGAGAATCCTGAGATGTCATTCTTGAGAGCAGCTGAAAGCAGTGAGCATGTGAAGACACAGCAGACTGGGAAGCTTGGAACGTGCAGATTAGCAGTAGTGTCATATTACTTTCAGCTTTCAGTTATTGGGCTCAATAAAGCCAATTATCTATCCAAACCTGTGTCAAGTCACTAATATTCTACAATTTTATTCCATCAAGTTTAATATACTGTATAAATGTAGTTGTCTTTCCAAAACCTATTTAAGTTATTTTTGATTTCTGATTAAGTATGTTTTATAGGCAAAGTATATTGTACGAGCACAGAAATTGTTTTCTCAACGATTTTATGCTTCAAATTCGATAATGATATTGATAACATTAATTATTTTCCATTGAAATTTCAACTGGTGTTACTTATGTTAGTTTAATATTATTTTCTAAAATGTATAGCTGAGTGTCAAAGGACAGATGACTGTAAATGATAAATTGCATGGAATATTAAGTAAAAATAGCCTATTTTTAGATGATCTTATGCAGTTTTCATGGAGAAGATGAGGTGAAACACAAAATCCTCATTCAGGATAACCAATCTTGAAGCCCGAAACTTCAACCTGAATCTCCTGAACACAGAGGCATGCTAACCACTAAAATGCAACATTTATCATCAAATATTTCAGTGTGATGGTATGACTGACATCAGGTTCAGACCACAACTTTGAAAACGTTGAGTAACATTTGATATTTATACGTGTTCTTTAAATATTTATCATACTGAAAAAAAAGTCAAACTTGGATGTTCGGAAGTATTAATATAAAATCTATGCCATAACATGAAATATCTCAGTTACATCATAACATTTTTATCTGAATGTGCTTCTTTATTAGAGATGATCACAGAAAATCATTTATGTCTTCAAACAAAGTAGCAGTCCAAATTCCTTATCAAACAGGAATATCATCACTGTCATCATCAACAAAGACAAGGAGTTTGGAGTTCAGGCTCAGTATACACTGCTGTCCACATTAAAATCTCATCTGGACTTCCAATATATTTCTTCTCTTATGGTCTATAATTTCAAATTATCTTCTGAACAGAATTCTTATTCATTCTTTCAACATGTTCCCATCACTTCAATCTGAAAGTCTAACTGCAGTATTGTAATGTACAATTTGCTACTGAAAATTTCACCTTGCCTTAGGTATTTTTTTGTAATACACGTTAATTAATCTACAAAGTATCATTTCCCGACTAAAAGAAAAAAAAAGCTGTGCATATATATATATTGTCGCATTAAGTGGAGGAATTGTTTTGGATGTGGACCTGTTGTCTTGACAGATTACTGATGATGATGATATATATAGACATGCATGCATGCGCGCGCGCGCACACACACACACACACACACACACACACACACCTGTACTGTCTATGTTTTTGAACTTGCTTGTTCTCAACAGATGCAGAGTGAATTTCTTGGAGTCCACAAACTTAAATGAGGATTGTAGGGTGTGTACAGATTGGTCAAACTATAAGACATCCATCATGATGCAGCTACAGTCACAGCCCTGTTACCTCCTTCCGTACTTCCCACATGATGACCAGAAGCCAGGTCTAAAATCATGACCAGTGGATGTCTATATATACATACATATATTGTCATGTATATGAGTGACTACAGACGGGGTTTGGATTGGTAACTGGATGTATTGAATGCTTATAGAAGGTAACTACAAGTAATTATAGCCCTCTCTCTATATCACTACAGCATGCAGTAGCATAGTTGGTTGAGGGGCTATGCTACAAGCCGGAAGGTCATGGGTTCCAGTCCCGATGAGGTCATTGGATTTTTTTCAATTGACCTAATCCTTCCAGCTGCACTATGATCCTGGGGTTCACACAGCCTCTAGCAGAAATGAGTACCAGGAATTAATTAAATAAGTTTGCTGGGGAGTAAAGCATGGCTGGCACATAAGTCTGACAATCTTACCGCCATCTTTGAGTCAACTGTCTAGATAATGTGGGACCCTCAACATCTCACAACCCTATGGGCCTTCAGAGCCTGGTACAGGGATAGCTTTACTTTACTTACACACTAAATCTTCTCAGTCTACTGTTGCCTGGTAACAGCTTCCAATGGCATAGCTTCCACAGATATCATGCTCATGTTCTTACTGGCCAGCGCCCTCTCACACATGACTAAACTCAGAGTCAGAGTCAGAGTTACTTTACAGCTGGTGGTTTATCGCCAATCAATTTGTCTTGGTGGCAAGTTACTTGATACTCACAACCAGTATTTTTTCAACTGAACCCTTTTGATCATAATGCTTATGTAACATCCTCCCTGACAAAAGGATGGGTCTGTTGTTTACAATTGCTGCTGGCTGTGCTCAGCACTATCATTCTAATGTCTGAGTCCCACAGGATTTATGACATTTTACTGTCTTTGTGGCTCCAACAACCTGGAGGCCCAGGTATCCATATTTATATCCCCCATGGACAGGGTGGTCCAGTTATACCCCCAGGCACTGGGTTCCCTTTACATCACCTCCTACAACTCACAGGGTGGAGGTATTAGAACCCTCCTCCACACGAGCTAAATGGCTGACCTCTATCTAGACTTATCCTGCATATATCACCTCAGCACGAACCACACAGTAAACAATTCTCCCAAAAGAGTCAGAGTTACTTTATGACTGGAGGTTTATCGCTAATTGGTTCATCTTGATGCCAAACCCCTTAAGGATCACGTCCAGATATATTTTTTCAAACTGAACCCTTGCGGTCATAGTTCTGACATAACATGCTCTCTGACAAGAGGATGGGTTTCTCTCTTACTAATATGCTTTGCCTTGTCAAGTCTATGTATCGCATGTATAGAATGTTATTTAAAATTCTTTGCTGTTATTCTATTTCTATGTGATGTAGCTGTCGCATGGACTGTGTAGATAACACTGCTTCCCAGTTATTTCATTGATGTGAGTTAACTGTTGCGGCCATTGTCCAGCTATGGCCTTTGTTTACAGAGCCATTACATAGCAATAGCTGTTGCATAGCTACTTATTTCGCGGCTGTTGCCTAGCAACAGGTCTACGTATTACAATATTGTGACATGTAAATCCATGGGTAGGCAATGCCTGCAATACACACATGGTCCAACATGCAGCAATAGAACAACGGGTTTATGCAACCCGTTTCTGGGCAACGGGTCAGTAAACACACTTCGGCCCAGGTGCTATGACGTCACCACAACAGCAGGTAGCTGGCATGAGACATATGTTTTCTGTAGGCACCAGCTGGTGCCAATGGACTGGCTAGGTAGCCGTCATATTATATGTGTTTTCTGTGATACGTGTTCGTGCTGCATCTTCATAAGTGAGCAGAATTCCGAAGCTGAAGCACCCCGTTTGGAGGCGGCGTCGAATACCTCCACTGTGACCCTGCGAGTCGTAGGAGGCAACGAAAAAGGAAGTCTTCAATTTGAGACATCTGATGCGCCAGGAAGGCACTGATCTAATCAGGAACTGAGACTTCGAGGAGCAGCTACAGCTTCGAAGTGACAGGACAATCAAGGGAGCTACAGGAAGATCATCGGGCTGAAAATCGTGAAGCGAGCAATAGGAATTTTCAGTGGGTGGCGGAAAATCAGGAATTGGACGTTGTGGAGGGGTCGACCCGCTCCTAAATGGAAGAAGAACCTAACAGCACTACCAGCAATGCTAGCGCAAGAGAAAAATCGAGACCTCGGAAAGGAAGGGAAGATAATATGTAAATATTTAAGATTTGGTACAAACGTCCTATTGATTCGCGATCTTTCCATAGTTCTGCCCTGTGCATCATACGAAAAATGTCATATATATATATATCAGTCCATAGAACAGCAATATGGCAGAATTAAAAACAAGATATGATAAAGATTATGTGACCTTGAAAAATGGAACAAATTCACATGATAAAAGCACTTGAAAATTATGAATAATCTAGTAATTATCAGCTTATCAAGAGGTCATTAGAAGAACAACTGTCATTTTAGATTATACATACAGAATCTCGATTCATTACACATGAGGCAAATTAATGTTCGTTATTCACTATGTTGGAAAACCAATCATTTAATAACACAGATAAAAATAAAAGTTCATAGTCTCATTTACAACAACAAAAACATGATTTTTATAATCCTTGGCATTAACTATTTTCAAGAGTCACCAAACTGTGACGTAACAGGGCCATCAATTGTGAACTTCGGTTTAAATCATATAAATATTTCAAAATACACAAAAGACAAGAAGTGACAAATCACTTAATTTATTGTATGGCAATAATAAAAGACAAAGACAAAGAATGTTAATAAAAATGGAGAAAATTTATTTGATGAGATGCTCCATTATTTGTACTTTTCACCAAACACACTTAAATTACAATCAAGAAGAATGTGATGGGCAGGATATGTAGCACACGTGGAAAGATGAAAAATCTATATAACATTTTGATAAGAAATTCTTAAGGGAATAAACCACTCGTGAGATCTGAATATAGACAGAAGTTAGAAAAAGTTGGAGGGAGCAGGTTCCAAAAATGTTGGCTACAACATGGTCTCAAATTCCAGAAGGCTATAGTCATAATATCCGCTGCCTTGAGAACCACCAATACCATATAAATTACATGTGAGCCTGTTGCACTGAGATAAGACTGAAAGTAATTCTGACATATTTCAGCTCTTTGAGGTATGAAGTTTGTATGAAAGATACATAAAAACTAAAAGCCCACCTAAGTGAAAAGACCTTTGGTTTTCATTGCAAAGGACATACCAGTTAATACTGTGCATTTAAATAGTCGTTAACTTTCAGAGTCATTCAAAACATATAAATATATATCTGGGCAAAATATAGAGGTTTTTAATTCTGAATCATATAGTACATATAGAAATCACTGTGCTTCAGAGGCTTAAGGAAATATTGTGGCCATAAGATTTGAGGTTTTCATGGCGATGGTGATTCGTATTGTGATTTTCTGGATCATGACACTATGTGGTCTAGTAGGCAGATTCCACCAAACAATGGTAGGAAACTCACCAAACTACAAGGTGACACTACCAAGAAAATCAATATGAGTAATATTCTCTGATTCACCTGGATGTTATGAGAACCCCTACAAAGATTGGATGTACTTTGAGGGCCTCGTTGCATTAGCAAAGCTGCCTGTTACACCAGTAGAGTTATCTGGGAAGCAATAGAAATAAGCTTATACCACAAAAATAACAGAGAATTCCATTTTCCATATTCTTTTCTCTCACATCTGATGCAACCTACTCTCAACCAAAAATGATCACTCTGCCACTTTCCATGCCGCACATCTGTCAGCTAAGGTTTAAGCAATATTATATCTAGTGAGCACTTGGGTTGATAACTGCCTGTGACCATTGGCTGCGTTTTTGGTGCATTTTGTGGGCCTTACAAAGGCCATTTCAAAACTTTCCTAACTTTTCCTGTCCATTACTTTTATTGGCCTGGATGGGGCTGCAAATCCCATTTTTCCCATGTGGTTGTTTGAACATAAGCCTGTATATACACATAATCCTGCTAATGCTACACTCTTTGACTGAAGAAAATAGGGGCAACATGTACCTTCAAAATATTGACAATGGAGTCCACATGCATATAGTGTAAAGACCCAAGAGCTAAATTAGCATGGAGATACCAGTCAGATTGCTGGTACCAGTTAGGATTGAAACCAGAAATCCCTCAAACATAACTTAAATGCTTCATTGTGGATGTATAACTGTCATTAAGTAAATCCTCATAATGCAGATTTAACAAATCTGTCAAGGAAACTGGACTGTATCATAAAAATGTAATATAAAAAGATGAGTTAGCTATAGAGAAATTACTAAATTTGGTGTCATAGAACAGCTGGGAGTTTAGTATCTATTACTGACACATACTTGCAAGTGAAGGAATCAAAGGCAGAAATTACAGCTACTGTGAAAAGAATCACTAAAGAAACACTTGCTGTAGTTATGAAATATTCAAAGAAATATTTATTCTGATATTATTAGGTGTGGTAGGATAATATTCTGCATATAACCTTACTTACTTATTCATAGTCTCTATGGTCTTCTGAGAATCTTAGAATCCTTTATGATAGATGGCCCCTCTTCTCTGTTAATTACCCTTTCCCTCCATTTTTTCACTTATTGTCTGTCATTAGTCATCCTCTAAACTTTCCACCCATGTCACACTGTACATTCCTACTTTTCTTATACTTGTACATTTGAGCTTACTTTAAATAACTCTATCAGCCAGCCTTGCTTGTTCCATTCCAATCACATGACCTGACACTCCACTTTCTTCTTTTAATGCTACCACATCTCAGGTCTTATGCAAACCTCAGTATGTTTCTTACTGAATAAAAATTTTCCTTACCGTATTAGTGCTGTGTTATGAAATAGAGTTTAAAATTACCACATTTTTTTTTTTTGATGAACCTGTAGTCAGTATAGCGACTAGCTATTGGACTGGACAACCAAGAGGTCATAGTTCGAGTCCCAGAAGGGTCAAGAATTACCTCTTCTCCACATCGTCCAGACTGGCTCTGGGGTCCACCCAGCCTCCTATCCAGTGGGTACCAAGGGACTCATACCCAGGGCTAAAACAGCTGGAGCGTGAAAGTGACCACTCACCTCCAACTAGTGCCGAGGTCAAAAAAATATGGATCTATACACCCACTCCCAAATACACCTTCATGGCATAGTGCTTAATAAGTTAGCACAGGGACAACTTTACATTTACCTTGTAACCTATGCACCTCCACAATTTTTACTGTATATTTTCCATTACTTTCCCTGACAAAACCTAGTCTTAGGTGCTTATATAGATTTAACTGAGAAACTTTGGTTCTTCAGTGACTGAATTTATTTCCTTTTGACTGATTAAGTTGAAGAGGTGCATTCCCACCTTCTTAGCTGGGGACAAATGCAGGCACAATCTTCGGAAGATTGTCTTCAATTTGGAGAAACATATGATGGACAAAGTAAAAAACCGGTAATCTTAAAAACAATACTCTGTCATCAGACCATCTAGAATTTATCTGCACTGTACATAAACTGGACAAAATAATTAAATTTTATAGAATTAAGAAAAATGTTTGTTATTTACAATGAAATGGTAACAAATACTGTACCACGTGGATAATGTGTATCCTTTAGATCGAATTTAATAACTGATTACAAAAATAACATACATCAGTTTGGTTCTAGAGGAACCACCAACAGTTATTTTCACTATCATTTTTTTTTTTTTAACATTCTGAGTGAGGTGAGACTGAGTCCACTTGGTACTGCAGCCAATACTGGTCTATTGTACCAGCCCCAGATGATAAATGATGGTGACTGTGGAACAATTGGTGGAATGAAAATTGGTAGGAGAAACCGAAGTACACGGAGAAAACCTGCCCAGTGCAACTTTGTCCTCCACAAATCCCACGTGATCAAATTTTCACTACATTACAAATGAAAGTGTAATAAATTCTTGATTATCTGTGCCAGTATAGGGAAGGAGTTACGCATATTATTAAATGAGTGGACATGGAAATGGAAATGGAAACGAAAATATCAATCATACTGCATTCAGCCCTCAAAACCATTTAATTATAAATTACTGATGTGCTTCTTAAAAATAAAAGGAGGCACATATGTATTTTTCCAATAGGTGAATGAAACCCTTGTTTAATGGGTGACCTGAGCAAAGAACAATAAAGTAATAAAGCAGAAAGTTGCAAAACAGTGAGAAGATGTACTGTCTAGTACAAATCATCATAAATTATCACTGATATATGTTAAGGTAGCAGATGTAATGGACCATATTTAAATCATTCCAAAGAGATATACCCAATGCTAAGAAGTTCTGAAGTCCTGTAGTTATTCTGCATATGCGTAATAAGTTTACTGTCAAATAGTCACATGCAGCCCCCTGTCCTATTTCTTTCCTACTTCCATTATTCTTGTATCACCATACCAACCAATCAGCCTACCAACGGTTTTAATGGTTTGAACACTCATTCAGACATCCAGCTACAAGCTACAAAACTAACTCTCTGGGCCTGTGTTTGGTCACACAGAAAAGATTTAACACAAGGATTTGATTCTGGCTAAGGAGCCATTTAATTGGAGTTATCTGGATTGCTGTACAACCACACTTGTAATAAGGATGTAGAAGCATTACAGAGCAGTAGTTGCTTGTATTTTTAAGCTAATATATTCACATTGAAATACTGCAAAATGTAAAACACTGTCACAGTATTATCTTGCACTGTAGAAGCATGAACTGTATACTTATTCTTCAACATACATGTTCAGGTAAGGGGATAGACTTACAAAACATCCAACAATCTCCCATATTATATAAATTACATGGAATTCCATGCAGTCACAGTTTAATTACAGTGTGATCTTTGCATTTATTTCACAAAAAAATTTCTCATGCATGTCCAGACTCCTGTCCCCAGTTTATTATAAATGTTTCACATATAATACCTGCCTTACTACATGCAGCTAGAACTCACATCCAGATCACGCAACAAACCTTTGGCCATAAAATGTGCAGAAGCTGGCCATCCCTGTTTCATATTATATTTGCTGCAAAAAATTTGGATGAGTTTAGAACTTTAGTACTTTTAAAGTGATCAAAATTTTTACTGACCTTATCTCATGCATTGATAGCTCATGTAAAAGATAAAACTTTTTTTCAAGAAATCTGTTTGTATATAAAGGCAGGTTATCATTGAGCGAACAGCGAGATTTGTGTACAGGGACCATGTTGCCGAAGCAGGTTATCTGGTCAGCAGTGCTGGCAGTCACAATCAGTGTGGCAATAAATGCAACGTTTTTAACTGGTAAGTTTAACTATAATGCAGAATATCACTCCTTCTTGGAATGGACTTGTAGAAGCCTAGAACAGACTCTAGCTGGATTTAAACCATTTATTTCTTGAACAACATCTTCAAGTTGCTTTATAGATGTTGGAGGTGGGAATCTGTTCCTCATTCTAGTCTCCAAACCTGACTAGAGTGGTTCAACCATGTTCAAATATGGTGATTGTGCTGATCAGGGAAGATGTGGAAGTTCACCTTCGTGCTCTTCAAAACATTACTGAACAGTTCCAACTCTGTGACTTGGGGCATTATCGTCTTGGAAAACTGCATCATTGTTCAAGAATGTCTGTATCATGGGATGCACCTGATTACCCAACCTGTCCATATACTCCCTTGCAGTATTGCAGCAGTGAAGAGTAATAATGGGACAAACAGAATACTGTACCATGATATCGCAGCCCAAACCATCACAGCACCTCCCATGTTTAACTGTTGGAACCAGGCATTCCTTGGGTGTCCTCCAAATGTAAACACTTCTGATGTTGGGAACAGCATGAAGGATGAATCATCTGACCATATCACATGCACATTTCCAGTTGTCTGATGTCCGGGTTTTGTGGTCATGAGACCACTGTTGCACATCTGAGCATTTCAATTTTCAATTTCAATTTATTTAACGTTCCATAGATCCACAGTAGACATAAGATATAGAACATATCAAAAGAGTACATAATATAGCGAATAAATAAAACAAAGTAAGTGAATAGAATAAAATGAAATAAAATATGTTGAATCAGATAGTTGATTCCAGTGAAGACATAATACTTAATACTGTTAGAATTGACTATGAAATAACAATAGAAACATTTCAACCAAAAACTAGTCAAATATCCAACTACAAGCAAATCATATTACACCTAAAATGTCATGAATATGATAATATAAAGTTTGATACTAGCTTTGACTAGTCATTAACTTGTGCAAGTTTTATATTGAAAATATTCTTCTATGGAGTAAAAATAATGTATATGGAGAAAATGTCTTAAACAGGTTTTAAATTTTGTAAGATTTGAGGTTTTCACGGCGGTGACTATGAAGAAAGCAGTCTTCTGGGATGTGGCACTGGACAAGTCAGCCGTAGCTGAACACAGCATTGATCTGGGACACAGTATTCAGCTTCAGAATACCTCCATACTCACCACGAAGACCCGCTATATGGATCGCATCATTAGGGAGGCCATTGAGATTGAACTCCATCCCGAAAATATGAACAGAGAGGGGGGAATTTTGTCTCAGAAAGTCATGGAAGCCTCTCATCTGTTCCCTCAAAAAACCCCCCCGGGATATGACACCAGATCCAGAAGGCTACACAGGCCATGACCCACTAACATAGCAACCCCCCCCCCCCCAGCTTAAGGGTTAGTGTCCATCCTTTAACCTTGCCTTTCTCTCCCCCAATACAAAACCCTGCTTCTGTCCCAG